GTTGGAAATTTCATTGCATTTACCATACAAGACAGTGTAGTTTAGCATATTCTATTACTAAATATTTATTTTTATGAAAATGGCAGTAAAACAAAACAATAATTACACGTATTAAATAATATTTTACATGTTTATTCTATAGCGGAAAATATTAATTTTTTACTTAATTACTGGGGGTCAAATATTAATACTTACATGTTAAAGCTATAAAAGTAATGTAGGAAGTCAGTCGTCAATTTGACGGTGTATCCCTACTGGTCATTTAGCTGAATAAAATATTTTTTTGGCAGCTAAAGCCAGTTTTTAGCTTTTTATTGTTTTTGGTTGCCGAGGCCATTTTGTGTATTTGTTTTTTTTTTAGGGAAAATATTAAAAACTCCTAACTCAAAAAAATATCCTAAAACTTGGGAGGGACTTTTATTTATTTTAAAAATTGAATTTTTTAACTTGGAACTTTTAAAAATCTTTCTGATTTTCTTGAATAATTCTATCTGTCACTTCCATTTGAATTATCATCAGTTAAGTTAAGGTCCCAGATTTTTTGTGATTAATATTTTTTTGCCAATTTTTACTTGTTACTTCAGATATTAGTTCAGGAAATGTAGTAATTTTTTTCTTGAAATAGATTAATACAATATTAACTCAGTTTTTACTGCATGTACTGTACTATAATTTGCCTATACATTTTTATTGCATTTCTGAAAACTTACTCTTCCTTATTCTTCAAATGAACTATATCCATAATCATATTTGAAATCACCCTGTACGTATACTTGTTAGGATGTGTTTTTTAATGCAACAATCAGAACGGTACTTAAACATTTTATTTCTACCTCTGCTTTCATTTCTTAAATAAAGGGTGGGGCAGAAAATGAGCGATTTTTAAAATTATAAAAAAGAAAAAGTTTTACAAACAAATTTATTATTTTGTTAGAGAACGTACAAAAGCATTGATTTTATTTTTTAAAAATAACTCCGGGAAGATGACGTCCGTTCAGGCGTACACATTCTTCCAATCGTGATCTCAATTTGTTCATTATTAGGAAATTCGGTACACTTCCTGTCAGATCCGTTCTTTCAAGGCTTGAATAATTGTTTGCGGTGAGTTACTTTGAAACACTTTACTGTTCAAGTAATCCCACAAGAAAAAACACATGTTGTAAAGTCTGGTGAACAGGGAGGCCATCTGATATCCCCATTTCGAGAAGTTACATGATTTAGAGTTAAGGGGATTCTTACTTTTGAAAATAGGCTTAAATTTGAAGGATTTTTGGAAAGGAATTATAATCTAGTAATCCGATGTTATTGAAAAAAATATATGTTGTATAAACAACTGAAACTTAGATTGCTCTTCATTCAAAATTTTCCAAAAATCTACACATTAACAAAATTGAAAATCGGCTTAAACTCAACCAACTTCAAAAAATTATTACGCGTATATTTTTATAAATATCAAAAAAACGAAAGAAGAGCAGACTTTTTTTATATGTTCCTAATATGCTTTTAAATTTTCAAATAATTTGATGCGTTAGAATTGCCACAATTCCATTTTAAAAATGCATTGATTTTAATGCAAAATCCAAGCGTATACTCTTCTATCCTTTACATGCTTTCTTTGTTGCCATGGAGACGCGGCGGCCTGCAACAAGAAGTGATCCTGGGCGCTACGACTGCACGTGTTTCTGTGTGTCTATAATCGTTTTTGTAGCTCAAAGAACTTTTGAGCTTTAAATTTGGTACAAAACTCCTCTTAAAAGGGTGAAAATTTTAAAAAATTAAAAAGAAAACGATAAAATCACTTTGTTTTTTTATGTAATTTTGATATAGGGAGTTTTCGGGGTCGCTAAAATAATTTTAAATTTCTAAAATTAAAAATACAGTGTGTCTTGAAAGGAATGGGACACGGAACAGCAACAGATTATTTACATAAAACTATGAAAATGTAGCTAAATTTAGAGTAAATTTTAAGTCGTATTTTTTGTTGTTTTTACACTTAAATAGCAGTTCTTTTGACTTCCAGTAGAAAAAAACTGTACCTTTACATTATGTTGCTTGATACAAGCTTAATACCTACTTTCGGATAGGCAAGTTTGGCTAAATCGTGATATTTTTACATACGAAAGTTACTAATCTGCTGCTTTTTCATTCTTATGGACCTTGTGTAAATATTTTTTGAGTTTTTTGAAATTAGTTATAGTGAGAAGATTTCACTAACAATCTAAGTAGTGGAACTCATTGTGATATACTTAACAAAATAATTTTTAGAATACTAAGGGCCAATTTCAAAATCAAATTAAAAGAAACTTCAATATTAAAAGAACTCTTTAAATGTTATATCGATTTCATAAAACAAATTTATTGAAAAAGTACACTTTAAAGCTCCGTTTAATTAAATACCCTATTCTGCTCCTTTAGAAGCTTTAAAGTCTCCTTTTACTGATGTCCTTTGAAAGTTTTTCGTTTTGATTGAGAATTTTTTATGATATCGCGCCAGTTGTTTGGTTTAATTTGATGTGAGTACACAACAAATAATATAACTTTATTTTGAAATTGTTGAATTTTCATTTTTACTGTTCAACAGTTGTCGTCACATGATTTATAGCATTGAACCGTAAAGTCAGTAATTTCCAAGCTCTATTTTGAAAAAGATTTTCATATTTATCATGACAAAAATAGTATTATTAGCTATACCAACCTTTTCAATATTGTTTATTTTATCTGTTGTTTCCAATTCCAAAATATTTTAATATTTTTCAGAACAATCACTAAAAAAATACTATAAAATATACTGAAACAATTTTCTTTTTAAATAACTGAACTAAACTTTTATTTTTCACAGAGAAACCCTTTTTCACATTTCGGATATCCCAAACTAACATTTGAAATGGATTAAACACAATGATTTATAATTAAGTATAGGAATTATAACTTGTAATTAAGTACGTTTTGTACTTTCGATAAAAGGGTTCTTAAAATAGTTACTAGGATTACCCAAAGCATTACCCTGCTTCCTGTATCCTACCAAAGTCCTACACTACAGGTATTAATTCCTAGAATAATTAAATTTCAAATCGCTCAATCTCATTTTTACCTACTTTGGAAAAATCTGAAGAGTTTACATGATATCTATCATTTTACATATATGTTGAATAAATATTTGTACTTTATAATTAAATATAAAACATTTTTGAATCCAAAACATTTCATAGGAAACTTAAAATTAGGAAAACCATTATGAAATAGCATTTTTTAAAGGAAGCTTTAATTAAAGTTAATTTTAAATGGAAGCTTCCTTTCTTTAAATCCGCCTTTAGGGTTCGATTATGAAATTGGCCCTAATATGGATGAATTAAAGTACCTACCTATTTATCGTGCGGTATCAAATTGGGGTGGCAAAAAACTGATCGAAAAACATTTGATAGAATTGGAAATTTGATCGAAAATACATTTTATCGAATAACATTTGATCGAAGATATATTTTATTGAAAAGATAATAGATCTAAAATTAATTACAATATAACGAAAATCAACATTAGAAATAGTAAAATATAAAAAAAAAATCAAACGAAACCATGCAACCGTCCGTCTAATCTCTATTACCGAGGAATCTAAATTCAGCGTCTATCGTCAAATTAGGTACTAATGTCAAATTTTTCGATATTCTCAAACAATAGCTGCCTCATTTAAAAAATAACTAATTTACCTAACCTGTACGGCCTGGGGCCATGGAGGGTTGCTTTACAAAAAAAAAATAAAAATAACTCAACTAATTTACCTAACCTGTGCGACCTGGAGTTATTTAAATTTTACTGATTGCTCTCAAATAGGTAAGTAAATTAAGTTATTTTTTTATAAAAACTAAATTAATTTACCTAACCTGAAACCGTCGAGGGTCGTTTCGCAAAAAAATGAGAAAAACCAATTTACCTAACCTGTACGGCCTGGAGTCTTTTAAATTTAACTCATTGCTCTCGCACAGGTTAGATAAATTAATTAATTTTTTTTATTTTTTCTAATTTTAAGTATATTTGGTTTTTCGATCAATTTCTTTTTTTATCAAATCTATTTTTGATCAATTTTCTTTTCGATCATTGTTCTTTTCGGTCAATTGCTATTCGATTAAATGTTTTTTCCGTCAAATGATTCTATCAAATGTTTTTCCATCAAATGATTCTATCAAATGTTTTCGATCAATTTTGTGCCACCCATCAAATTGTTCGTAATAAAATATGAAGAACTAAAAAAATAAGCATAATTTAAAGTGAACTTAACTTGCATTTAAATCCAATAACATAATTTTTCCAGGTATGCTAAATCGGTAAGTCGTACAGAAAATTTAAAAAACAGTATACCTAACTGAAGAATCTTCAAATACGTCGGTCACTGAAAACAGAGAAATACCCTCTAATAGGCGGCCCTAATAGACCAGTTAATTAGAGCATTTGACAAAGCGACGTTCTTGAGAGTAACCAGCTCGTCAACTGTTATCGGTCCCAACCAATATTCGAATAGACCAGTTGATTGCAGCACATCAGCAAGCGACGTTCATGTGAATAACGAATTTGTCAACTTTTGGTCTATTTAACTAAACTATATCTTCACGTCGGTTTTACTACGCTACATGTTACCAAATAAAAATAAAAATTAGAAATGCATCGTCTAGAAAAAAGTAAGAATCCCTTTAACCCTTTTTGATAAAACACCTTCACAGCGTAAGCGCGCTGCTGAGAGATCCATCACTCTATTATTTCCAAATGCTATTACACAGGAAAGATTTGCAAGATTTTTTAAAATTGCTCGTTATTCTGCCCACACTATGTACTAGCCATTAAGTGGGGCCAAGGATATATTTGGTATAGAGGTCAAGTACTAGAATTTATTCAAAATTTATGCGGGGATCTTTGTCGACTAATGTTTTCAAAAACCATCATAGGACCCTAATGATAAATATCTTTGCAAATAAAATTGTCGTTTAACATTCCCACTTTATTACTTTCAGTAAATCTGGCCATCATAATCACAGCAAGAGCCACAGTTACTCGCCTTCGAAAAGCCAAAGCGGCACTCCCAGTCTGGGTTCCAAGAAGTCGCACAAAACTCCGAAAGAAAAACGAAGGTCGAGCAAAACCGACCTTATCAGTCAACCGGTCGAAAAATGCGCCACGCAGTGGTACACTAATGACAGCGAATTGAATACAAATACAACGAATAACAATAAAAGCAACAATACCGTATTCGAGCTGACCCAAGAGGTAAGTTGTATCAAATTGAAATTTGCATGATTGTTTTGTTTGTCTATGGTATTTTTAGGGTCGGTATTCTTAAGTGTTTAACTCGCAATTTCAGTTCTATTTCTTTAAAATACAATTATTATTCTCATACTTATAACTGTCAAACCACCGAATTTTATTGCTAGGTCCGGTGGATACGAGACAACTTATAATCGCAAATTATCCAATTAACTCTTGAACAATTTGACTTGAGTATGAAGGTGACAAGTCAGTATTCGTTTACCAAAGAAATAATATACCTAAAAGCGATTAAGTACTGAAATAATATTGTTATACCTGTCCTAAAAGTTTGCAAAATGATGTCATTTGTCAATAAATTTTTGGATATTCGCTTTCGAACAGGGAAAGCGGAACAATTGTTTGATGGCACGTAATATATTTTTTTTAGGATTTGATGAAATAATATCTTTAAAACTTATTCTAATAATTTTACTATTACGTTTAAGTATACAATACTTAAATTTAATTTCGGCCATACTACGTATTAAAATATTTCGTTCTGTAATTCAGCCCTGATTGTTTTACCGTTGGGATTTCGTTTCGAAAATAAAATAAATGTATTTTTCGACGATTTGCTTATTTAATATGATCTTTTAATTACTACTTTTTTACATCAAATCTACATAGATTTTTCGATTTTTTTGTAATTCGTTTCCTTTTATAACCTTGAAATCATAGTTACTGAAATGTAAATTCAGAAATACATTTATACTGCATCCGAAACTTTATGGTTAGAAAATTGCGCCTGTTACTACTACAACTTTGTATGCTCTAATCCATTTTAAAAAAAGTTGTTATAAATAAAAGCCAAATAATAAAAAAACAAGATTTGCATATCATAGTACATAAATATACATTTTATACATAAATACACATTAAACACATTTTTTACATAATATACATTTTTTTTAATAATAATAATTATTTTTGTTCTTAATTAATATTCTATATAATTACTTCATTACAGAAGAATTCGTCTAAGTTGTAATATGCATTATGACACAGGAATGACTTTTAATTTTAGTGGTCTGATTTCTAAAGTCTTTAGTACAGAAGACATTTTATTCCAAAGTAAGAAGATTGGCCTGTAATTTTTAACATCACATTTTTCACCTTTTTTATATATTGCCCGCACATAAGCTAGTTTTAGTTTTTCTGGATATACACCAGTACAGAAACAAATATTAATAATATGTTTAAAAGGATACTTCTTTTAAGAAGACCACTGGTACTTCATCCAAACCTACATTATCTCCCTAGGTATTGTTAAACTAAAGGTGCAAGTTTCATTGGCTATTATTATATTGTCACAGTTTATTACTTCATCTTGTGCCAATGTCAGGACAGGCAGAAATGAAAAATTGATTTGTCATGTTCAGGATATTCAAGATATCTGTCGATGCCAGAGCTGTATCTTTTCTACTAACATTTTCTAGAAAGGAGTTTTGTCTTGAATTATTTTTTTGTTATTTTTTTTACATGTAACCAAGTGGCTTTGATTTTATTATCAGATTTTCCAGAGACATTTTTTTTACTACCCTTACAACAGTTTTTAGAACAGTACTATATTGTTCATTTGAGGTAGTTCCATTTAGCATTTGCCTATATAATAAACTTTTGTTTTTATAAGATGTTTACCAGATGTAATCCATGTTCTTGTCCTTTTCTTTTTGAATTCTTTTATTGGAAAAAATTAAGTCTATGTATGTTTTTATTTTAGAATGGAATAAGTTGTTACAGGATTAAAACGTATTTATAATAACTTTATATATTATATACGAAGTACCGATATTTAAAACCAAGTAATCAAATTATAAGTAAAGAGAATTTTCAGGTAGATAAATTTATTTTAATTGAATTAGTTGAACTTTCGGTGTGATATACTTTTATTATTAATTCTTCATCGTTCGTTTACTACAGTAGTTTTCTCGATTTTCTTGAATGTACGAGACGATTTTCTCCTAAAATTGGGAAGATGTATGTATGACGTAAGCCTTCATGCTATATTTTGTGTTTTTATTACCTAGCTAGGCTAGAAATTTATTTTTCGTTTGTTTACTAAATTATACAGATGACAAGTCTTGTGGTGTAATAAGTTTTATAAAACGATTCTTGGAGTAACGCAGAAGTCTGTACAGAAGATGTAATGAGAACTTTTGTCCTTCTCCTTCACTTAAAGCAGAGAGATATATATTTCTTTTATTTGCCTAATTAATTCATGCAATAAATAATTTAAGGAGTGAATTAATTGAAATAATTTATATGAAACAGGAAATACCTGAATAAGATTAAATCTGAAAAAGACATATTCATGAAGACTTATTTCAGGCCTTTTTATTTCTGGTAACTGAATGTCCACTTAATTCACTGGTTGGCAGTTGTGAAATTTAGTATATACCCTGTGTTTATATGAATAGGATAGTATAGGATATTTCTAGTGATTATCGTCAGACATTTACCCAGTTATCACTGAACCAAGGATCCCAAACACTCGGAACCAATACCCTTCCATGTTGTACTATCCGAAGGTACACAAACTCATCCACCCCATAGAATAGGAGTATTCAGGTGACATCTAGTTCTTTTATCGCCCAAAACCAGGTAACTTAAGTTTAGTTATAACCTCCAGCGACACTTTTTCTTTGAGGATATCGTGACCATTAAGAAAGAACGTGCATTCGTCAGAAAAGCATGTTGAATATAAAAAGTGGGGATTCTCCACAACTCTTCTAGTCATTTCCTCACAAAATTGGATACGACAATCTGGATAGTCTTCGTTGAGCTCTTGCACAAGATGAATCTTATAGGGATGGAATTTATGCTGTTTCAAGACTCTCTGAAGGCTTCTACGTGGAATTCCTGTAGCTGCTGCTATTTGTCTCGTGCTTGAAGTGGGATCCAATGCAACATGTCCCAAAAGTGCAACCTGTGTAGCCTCGTTAGTAACAGAATGTTGTCTTTCATATTTTCTGTTAGAAACGATTCCAGTCTCCATGAATTTAGACATTAAATTTATCACATTCTTACTGAGATCCCGTTCATTAAAAACTCTTGCAGGTACCTGAGCAAATTCGTTGTTTCTAAAATAGTGTGCGACAATTTCAATTCTCTCTGCAGTGGTGTAAACTATGATAATTAGGTTCATTTACTTTCAAATAGCAAATGAAGAAATTTCACTTAAATAAATCTAGGTACCCGTAAAATTCTACTAAAAATCATTATCTTAAATGCTGATAAATATATTTTTTGCTGTTTCAGTATCTAGTTATTAATTGCAGCTTTTTATTCAGATTTCTTTAAAGACGGGGTCTTCCTATGTACACCTGTAGACCAAGGATTTCCGAAGATGTTAAATTTTAAAAAATCTAATTTTCTGCCAAATTAAAGATAAAGGTCTTACTTAGGTAGTCTTACTATTTTAAATTGATGAATAATTTTAAAGTAAAAAAAAACTGGTAAATGTCTCCATGAAAATGAAAAATGGTGTTATTTTAAAATTATGGCTTTTATTGAAAATCGTCAATTTAACAATTTAAAATAGTAAGACTACATAAGGTAGACCTTTATCTCTAGTTGGGATGAAAATTACATTTTTTAATGCCCTAAATTAATTAATTAAATCGGTCGATTTAACTTTTGGTCTACATCAGGGAGACCTCCTCCTTAACGGATATTTTAAACTGATTTTTGGCATTAATTTTAGCACTTAAGAAAAAAATTTTAGCATGTCTGTAAAGAGAATTGAAATAACTCTCAAATGATGTGCCACTCAACCCCTCATGCCATTAAAGATTCTCGAAGGGACCACCCCTTTTAGGGGGATCACCTTACATCCATGAGTTAACGATCACTCTCGATAACAAAATCGACGTGCCTCGGAGTTTGTCGCAAAAACCTCCTCCGCCAATATTTGAAGTGGACTGTTTCTAATGCGCCACCCTGTATATACAGGCTCCTCCACGAAAATAATTTTCTCTGGATATGCATGGCCTCATTTCATATCCAGTAATCTTTATGAAGTCTTTCTCTTCGTAACAAAGCTAATGTTTAGTAAAACACAATACATCTGGTTTAATATTCAATGTTTGTTTCCAAGCGAGCTTCAATATCAGAATCTTTATTTTTCAGGCTTCGTATATTTTGATACAAAACTTGTAAGCACTCCTTTGCTTTTTTGTGTAAGTAAACTTTAATTCGTTGGTGGGAGTAGTGACTTGAATTCTTTCTGCTCGATGGTTTGGATAACATTGATATCTGTTAGTTTACATTTTTTTTGTGGTTCAATTATTGTTATTTGGGATATAATGAAAGTATTTGATACGAAGGTTGTTTTCTCTGTTTTGAGTCCTTTGGAGCATTTTTGCGCTTAGTTGCCTGTACTCTTCTGTCTGTGTTCTTGTTTTATCGAAACCTAGTGCTATTTTGTGATATATTATGTTTTTTTAAGTTCCTTTGCTTTGCAGAATATTTTTTTACATCATCTGATGATAATACCACCTTCAATGGTCTAGGTCTATTGGTATTTTTGAGACAGTAGAACGGAATATATTTCGCTAAGTTTCTTTCTCTCTTTGTTTCAAAGGTATAAGGTAGAGACAGACAATAAACTTTAACGAATACGGCAATGTAAGATAGATATCCAACCATCAGATCTCTTCATGCTCTCGTGGTCGCAAGACATAAGATGATTTTAACAAATGCAAAGACGTTATAATTTATCACAAAATGAGTTGAAATATGCAAAAAAAATTCAATAAATAAATTGCATGGAATTTTTGTTTTACACAATAAACCATTTTTTATAACACATATTTATCACTATCAACAAACTACATGGCAACATGATTGAATGCAAACTTTTGGGACATGTATAGTGAACAACTTAATTAAAAAGTACCGACCCTAAAATAATAAAAAACGCAGTTGCTTTCATTTATTATGTAAATACCTATTGATTGTATTTTGAATGACTTGTGCATGCAATAATAAGAATTAAAAAAAATTGGATTTAATTTTTAATAATAGTAGTCGTAGTAGTAGTACTAGAAACGGTAGTTAACTTTTTCGTTGACTTGACAATTGTTTTATAAATTTTTTAGTTACACCCTAAAAGACCCCTTCGTTCGGAAGTGGAAAAAGAAAAAAGGTTAAGTCGTCCGACAAGTGGTCAATATTCCAGACCTAACAGTCTTTCTATTACTATTAGAGGAGCTGGAAGTTCTGGAACTAGTAGTAACAGGGATTCGATAGGTAAATTTCTAAATTGTAGAGAAAATCTTTTGCACTGCACAGTCGCAAACATAAATATTGTTTTTTACGTTATTTTTATGATTTGACTACAGCTTTATAATAAAGGATAGTTCTTTGATAAATAATTACATTAAATATTGCCGACATAAGTATAAGTCAATCATAAAAACGCATTTTTGACATGTACAATGTGGCGAAAAATTATGTAAATACTTTAATTAACCGTTATAGAAAGAAAGTTGGATAAATTGGAAAAATAAGCGGCTCATACTGTAAATATACTTTTTTTGTTGAAGATCAAATACTGCTTAATATAGCTTAGCCGCATTTTCAAAGCGACGTTTCGTTTTTAAAACGCCTCCTTCAACTATAAATTTTTTTTTTTTTTTCAATACGGACTTGTACTTTTTATTTTCTTTTTAGAATTCCATTTTTTCTATATTTCAATTTTGAAATGCTAATAAATCCTTCTTGAAAAGACGTATTTTCCAATTTAAATAATTTTGTTAAGAAATCCCAGTGTTTAACTGAATATTCGCCACCCTGTATAATATAGACTCTTTAGCAAAATCAATAATTATAAAGTCTGTATAGATTGTATAAAAATAAAGAAAACAGATCTTAATAACGATTTCTTAGCCATTAGCCGTTTCATTCTAGTGGCTATTTGACTTATTTAAGTCCTTTAGCCCAGGTTTCGGGTAAAAGAAAGTAGTCACTGAATAAACTAATAGCCTTATTCAAAAAGCATTTTTAAATTTATCCATAATGTAAGAATATCTTGAGCCAATAACCAGGTCGCACCCACAAAAAAAAGTACTTTATTAACTTAATAACTTTAAAATAATAGTTTAGGTTCAATTACTGTGATATTGTCTTTGTTATTACTCTTATCAAATATAAAAAAATATATAAATATAAAATATACTAACTTATACATAATAAACGAAATTTTCTACATTCGTACACATTCCGTCTTTTTGGTACAATTTTAACCAAATTTTAGGAGTGATAAAGGTTCCACATGTTTAAGAAAGCATGCATATTTTTTTGATATTAATTTTCACTTTCCTTCATTTATACCATTATTCAATTTTAATAAAATTTTGGGAGTGGTATAATTGGGGGATAGTAAAAATAAATAACGAAAAAATATGCATTCCTTCTTAAGCATGTGGAACCTTTACCACTCCAAAAAATTGGTTAAAATTATACCATAAACAAAGACGGAATGTGTACCAATGTAGAAAATTTCGTTTATTCTGAATAAATCAGTAAATTTTACATTTGTATATTTTTATATTTGATTAGTCTAATAACAAAGACAATATTAAAGCAATATAACACTAATTGAGCCTAAAATATTATTAAGTTAATAAACTATTTTTTTTGTGGGTGCGCCTTGGTTATTGGCTCTTAGATAGAACCGTCATTATAATGAATGTCTAATAGAGTTAGGAGATATTTCACAAACTGTTATTTAATTATTCTTTGTAAACTGAGTTTTACATGTTTTTCTATCGATTTCTTCTTAAATGTTTTCCAGAAAAATATTTACATTTTACTAATCATAATAACGATTCAAAATGACGCCACTTTTTCTCTGATTTGACGTTTCTACGTTTACATGTAGGTACCTATCTAAAACTGCTTTATGGATATGGATTTAATTGTATTCTCTTATAGTTTAGTGGGTGACATAACTGTGAAATAATTATTTTGTTTTAGGTACCACGGACTCCAGTATAAGTGAAGAAGATACAAATCCTCCCCCTTTACCGGTGAAACATAGAGACAGTGAAAATTGCAATAATAATGCGCCATATAACGAAAACTACAGTTTTCTATATTCCCACAGGAATTCGTCTTTAAGAAACACCCTAACAATGGCATACACAACGGAAGAATCTTTAGAAATAGAACTAGAGAACATTCCCCCTACCCCGCCACCCAAACCGCCCAAAAATAAAAACCCTCCTCATAGTTTACCCCCTTAGTACGTAGTAGCCCTCTATTCGAACGCACAAGCAAGACTAAACCTTGCACAAATAGCTAGTTATATTTTTCATATATATTAGCGAATCTTAAGATAAAAAAAGTGCTTTTGAAGTTTTTAGCGTAGTTACCGTAAGTGCCATTTAAATCTAACAAAACGTTAAAGTACTCATTGCCAAAATGGTATTTTTTTTTTCTAAAGTAGTATTTATATTTTAAATAAGCCAAAGATTGTATATTTATTATTATCGAAAAAAGGAACATATTAAATAGTTTATATTTAGTTTTTTCTTTTATTTTATCCCCTTATCAGTTCTGATCTTATAATTAGTGCTTGTACATTTAAGCGCTGTCGTTTCAATATACTATTAAAAATTGCAGCTATGATTTTTAACAGGTTCGATTTTCAAATATTTTTGAAGGAACTTTTCTTCCAATATTTTAAGGGTATTTTTAGCAAGTGTTGTAAATCAAAATGGGAAAGAAATCGCAAATAAATTGACTTATGAACATTATCATTAATATTATTTTTAGGCGCTAAACCATTAATTACTATTTTAATTGATGTTGGTGGGATTACCACCGTTACAGTACACATTAGTGGGATTGCCACTAACTACTTTTTCAATTAATGTTGGTGGGATTGCCACAATTACAGAAAACATTAGTGGGATTGCCACTAATTACTATTTTTAATTAATGTTGATGATATTGCCACCCTAACATTAGTGCTACTTTAATATCATAATTTATTCAATAAAATTTGGTGGAATTGCCACCATAAGTTGACAAAAACAATTATTTTAATTTAATACTCAGCGTTTTTATAATTACTGTGATGACCATAGCCTTAACTGATTGTGAGCGGCTATTGTTGTTCGCTGTCGCTTTTTGTGAAGTTGATATCTTTCGAACAGTGTAAGACCCTTTTTATTTTGGCCTCAGTTTTCCTCCACCTGCGAACTATGAATCTTCAATAGCCACGATATTGCCTGTCCTAAATAATGTGGCCCGACGCCTAGTTTCATTGATTCCTTGACGGTCATCAATTTTTTTTTCATGTGTTGTGCTACTACGACGGCCTCTTCTGGATCAATAAACGAATCATTAGGCGATTCATTTCTCAAAAATTGCTGGATTGCGACTAGTCTTTGATTTTTTCCCGAGATGCAGTATGTTTGACACATCACATAACCAGTTACAGAGTGAATGGTTGAATTTAAACTATACTTTATTTCGAGTTTTATTGCTATCTTTTTCAGTTCTCATTACACGTTCTACTTGACCATTCTCACGAGACACTAGTTGATATGTGATGAATTTGTATGTTGTCTTTACTAAGAAAGTTTTTGAATGTTACTGAAGTAAATGCAGCAGCTCGGTGAGCTACAATTCGTTTTGGTTTTCCCAATTCCTCAAAAACTGGCATTAAACCACGTATGAATTCTTCGAAAGTTTATTTTTAGAGATTGATGTATCAAAATATTTTGTAAATGCATCGATTATGATTATGCTAATAGATTTTTCTCGTTGCCAAAATTCACATTAAGTGCCAGTATGTAAGTTTCCTAATGTGCAAACTATAATTTTAGATGTATTTTAGACACATCCATTTTCGTCCAATATAAAATAAATAGTTTCTGGATACACTTGTTCCATCCTATATATGAAGACTTATCATTATATAAAGTCAGTAATCAATTGCGCTGTGGTGGGCATAAAATATTTCCAGAGTTTTGTTTTGGTTATGATCATGTCCTTTTCAATAGTTAGCTCAATGTCAAAAACCAATTTATTAATTATCTGATACCAAATAATGGTATAACTATACTGGAAATCTCAGAGCGTACTCTCTCTTATCGGTAATTTTGTTTATTTTTAAACTCACATCATCCACTGGATTTCGGATTTTATAGTCTATATCAGCCATACTCGACCTGCCCTCCAAGCTTTTTTTGCCGTCCCGAAATACTATTATTGGTAGCATCGCTAAATAGCACGCTAATTTTTAAATAAAAGTTTGGAATTTTGTGAGGTTACTGCAAAAGCAAGATAGCTCCACTTTTGGAATTTTCGAGTTAAGTAGGTACACTTTCTATAAGTGTGAACGAAGTCGTATGTTCATGATAAACAGATTGCCAATAAAAACTAACTCCATATTAATACATTAACAATATGCACATTCCTAATAGTGTTTCTGCCAAAACAAGATCAAGGCCAGACCCGAGGGGAAACCACTAAGGTCAAAACGTACCTATATTTCGGAAATTTTGGTGATTTCACTGGAAATCCACCCTTATTTTATACGATAATCTCCTTTTCTCGGTATTTACGGTTTTGAGCGACGAATTGATTTCGGCGATGATTTTGGAATTTTCGAAAAAAATTGTAGTGATTTCGAGAGAAAACGTACTAGTATTTCGGGAGTGGTTTACCGCTACTTATTTTTGTTGAATGTGTTCGTTGAAATACTGCAACATTGTGCTCACGCCATTTGTTTCGTTTAACTAGAGCCGTCTCTGGCCTTTCTCGATTGTTCCGAAATCCACGAGATGATTACGTCACCCTTTCTTTCCATGATACAGCTAACCTTCAACAACCACTAATAACAGGTGATGTCCGAATCTCCGTGGTGAACGAGTGATTGGTCAAGATGTAACGGGTGATTGGTCAAGCTGTAACGAGTGATTGGTCAAGCCGTAACGAGCAAATCTTTATGTGAAAATTCGGAAATAAAAGTATTAGTGGTAACAGGTGAATTTTAACCATACTTTCTAATAGACAACTTGTATCGAAAGATTCAGCTATCCTAAATACATTCCACCAGAAAAATAGATTTAATTTATCAATGAGCGAGGGTGGCATTCGGCTTTGCATGCCAAACTCGAACAGTATTTATTCAGAAGGATGCATGAAAGGATGAAACAAAGTTTTGAAAATACTTATAAAAAAGTGCAAGAAAGATTTACTAAAATTTTGCAAAATCAGGTGTTACACCTGATAAATTTCATCATTATTATCACAATCTACATGTATCTTCGATTGAAGATAATGACACATATTATATTATGATTTGTATGTAGAGTTAAAGTAAGCTAAGTGACGTTTTTTTTCTCTTTTTTTTACCAATTATTGATAATTCTTTTTTTTTTAATTTGGTGTCATCGGCATCGACTACTAAGACCATTAGCCTACTTTTCTGTGTAGGCTTTGTTACTGTTTCCTAGCGCCACTTTGGGAACAGCACTGTTAATTAGAACCCAACAGTGAATGGTCGAGTAGGGAATCCTCCTACCAAGGCATCAGAATTAATTTTAAATAATCAAATTAAATGAAAAAATTCCGGCCAACGGTAGGATTCGAACCTGGGATCCACAGGCAGAGACTACCACTGAGCCATCTTATTTTATTTATTTCTTACACCACCCAACAGTAATCACCATTTACTGGGTGGGAAAGACAAGAAAACATTAAAATATAAATACAAATACAAAATTGTTAAAAAGCTATACAATACAATGTAAACATCCAGAAAAAAAACTGACCGAACACAGGATAAAAAGAAATGGTTGTCTACATTGCATTACATGCTGTACATCATTTTTTTTACATTTACAAAGAAAAAACATTTTTAATCATATGTTTTTTACATGCAAAAATGTCCAAGCTGTCTTGAATTTCATGATATTTCTGAATAGATTGGTACATTGGAGATGAGTTTAAAACATTAGTTCTAGAAGCAGGCATGTAGAAACTCAAGTAAACTCTTAATCCAGCACGGGGGATTTTTAGATTGACGTAATTTAACAAATCAATACTGTCGACTGAGCCATTTAAAAGATTATAAAGTAGGAGTACCTGTTGGAAATTTCTGCGTATCACGAGCTCTGAAAGATTGAATCTAGATATTAGTAAAGCGTGGGGATATCCCCTTGCAGGGTATATACCATCTAAAACATAGGAAGCCGATTTCATGAATTTTCTTTGAACTTTTTCGAGTAAATCAGTATAAATGTTATGCACGGGATTCCAAACAACAGAACAGTATTCAAGTTTTGACCGTACAAAGGTAATATATAAAGTTTTTAAGGTGACTATGTCTCGGAATTCTTTACAGCTTCGAATAACAAACCCTAAGCTCTTTTTAGCAGCAGATAACATCGTTTCAATGTGTTTAACGAAAGATAGTTCAGGATCAAAATAAACTCCGAGATCTCTTATACATTCGGGTCGATTTAGAACAATGTTCTGTAGTTTGTAATCAAAAATTATAGGTGTTACTTTTTTAGTAAACGACATTACGGAACATTTCTCAGGATTTAGAGGGAGTGAATTATCGAGACACCACTTCGCAATGTCGGACAAACACTTTTGAAGTCGCAAGCAATGGTTAACAGAATTGATTTCAAGCAATAATTTTAGGTCGTCGGCATACATTAAAACTTTAATATGCTCGATATTAGCGACTATATCATTTATAAAAATTATAAATAAAAGAGGACCTACAATTGATCCCTGTGGAACTCCTGATGTTTGTTCGAAATTTTTTGACCTATAACCACGACATTGAACATATTGATGCCTACCCAACAAATACGAACCAATCAATTGAATGATTTGATCGCATAAACCAATGGAACTTAACTTGTGGAGCAAGATGGAATGATCAATTTTGTCGAAGGCCTTGGAGAAATCTGTGTATATTACATCAACTTGACTTCTTCTATCCAAGGCTTCCGAAATGAATTGCGTCGAACATACAAGGTTTGTAACTGTAGATCTATTTTTCATGAATCCATGTTGATCACAAGATATAAGACGGGAAACATGATTGGAAATACGATCGTGAGTAATTATTTCGAATACTTTAGCAAAATTGCAAAGAATGCTTATGGGCCGATAATTACAAACATTATTTTTGCTACCTTTTTTATGTACCGGAGTAATTCTGGAAATTTTCCAGGCAGTAGGAAAAATACATGTTTTCAAAATTAAATCAAAAATATGTTTCAACGGAGTGGCCAAAATTAGTGCACAGTCTCTGACAAGAAACGAAGGATTAAGGTCAGTACCCATTGACATATTGGGCTTAAGCTTTTTTAGGGCTTTAATAACTTCATCTTGAGATACAGAATTAAAGTGAAGCAGAGGTAAACTAATGGTAGATTCGTGGATGAAGTGATTTATTTGAGTTGGCTTGGAGAAATTGCTTGAAAAGTGATCTGCAGAAGCTTGAACAATTGCCTGTGGATCTTCTATACAGTCATTATTATATTCAACAGTAGTGGATATGGAATAGGAAGAATTTTTAGAATTTATGAATGACCAAAATTGTTTTGGATCATTTTTAATATTATTTTCAATTGACCTTAAATATGAGGAGTGAGCTATAGAAATGTCTAGTTTAATTTGGTCTCGAAGGTTCTTAAATTTAGTAAATGCATCTATGGAATAAGCGGATTTGTAGGTTTTTCGGGCTTTTTCTTTTTCACGAATCATGTGTATTATACGACCATTAAACCAAGGAGGGTAGGTCCTAAGGTTAGGTTTTTTAGCAGGTATATACTTATTAAAAATAATATACAATTTATTGTTCAAAAGTTGAACACTTTCATTAACGCTGCTTGCAATTGATATTGAGTAGTGCGTTGTATAATTTTGGAAAATCTGCTTTATTGTAATTATACTGCACGTGGTCTGGTTTACACTGTAAGCTCTTAACTCTAATTTTAATGGGGACATCAACAAAGAGGGGTGATATTCATCTTCATCTAAGACTACTTCATCGGCTTTATATACGTGACATGCTGAATTGGAAAAAACTAAGTCAAGCAGACGATGATATGTATTTTCTATCAAATTGAATTGATTTAAGTTAAAAAAATTCGCAAATGATTGTACAACGTTCAATCTAGGCGAGCAGCTAGAATTGTTTATTTGAGAAATATACTCTGGCACATTGAAATCTCCTAGTACTAGAAGATGATTATCATAAAGAATATTAAGTAATGATATAGCCTCGAACACAGCCTCATAGTCATCAGCAGAACAAGCTGGCGGTATGTATATGAGTAAAATAAAGGTACACTGATAGTGAGGTTTAATTTTTACAAGAATAAAATCAATTTTGTTTATTGGAATAGAGCTACAAACATCAGACGTATCAATCAGAACTGCATTTAATTGTTTTTTAAGGGCACAAAGAACTCCTCCCCCCCTTGAAGTTTGTGTTAACTCGTAATCTCGATCGACCCTATAAACATCAAACACTGCAAGATCAAATAGCTCAGCATTATTTATGGATTTATGGTACTGTTACACCAACTTTCTGTAAAGAAGTAGCCCGCATACTGTGTAGCAGCAGAAACATTGTTAAATAGACGAGTTGTTTTTGTTCTTAACCCTCTAACATTTTGGTAATACAGTTGAAGACTAATTTGTGAACAATTATCAGAGCCAGATACGGAAACCTTCAATGGTTGCTACTGTGACGGTAACGGTACAATTTTATTTTTAAACATTGTCAGAGCTCGTTTATAGTAATGGCAATCTTTATCCCATGCTACATGATTGACAGAGGTATTTATATTATGATTTGCTACTAGATAAGTACAATTAATGCATTTATTGGTATTAGATTTACAGTCTTTGAGCTCGTGATTAAGAGAACATTTAGGACAGGTTGGTTCAGCTTTGGTACATTGGCTTGCTAAATGATGTAAACCCCAACACTTATAACACCTGCGTGGTTCAACAGCACAATAAACAGGACAATCAAAATCGAAACCAACAGTGAGCTTACCGAGTTTCATAGCCTTATGATAGGTGGCCGTGTCAACTTGTACGACAGCTTGGAAAAATTTACTGTTTCTTTTATGCGGTTTTGTATATATAATTTCAATGGTAGAGTTTTCGTTAAAGCAGCTTCTGTTTTGGGATTTAAGATAGTCCAGTAGAATAGGATCATCAAATTTTTCGGACATGTTCGTGACTTTAATGCGCGGATGTAAAGAAGAAATAGACTTCATCTCGTATTTGTCGCCCAAATTGGTGTTGATAATCTGCTGGAATCTGGATGAATCGTCTTTGTTATCACAACTTATAACCAAGGCACCTTGACGTGTAGTAGATACATTTGAAACATTAATGTTAGTCTTAATTGGGTCAATACTTCGTAGGATTTCGGCTTTGGTAGCAGCTATGGGTTGAGTAGTATTTTTAGGTTGAAGAATGAATTTTGACCTATTAGCAACATCGGAATAACTTGGCTCGCTTGGTGTAGTCAATTTTTGAGAGATTAAATCTTTAATGCTGGCTTCAACACTCACAAATGAAGATTCTAACTTCTGAAATATCTCCTGGCGAAAACTTTCGAAAATTGTAGACGTGACAACTTCGGCTATCATCTTATTGATATTAGACTCAATATCATCAACTTTTGTTTTGAATTGGTCATTATTAGTTTTATCGACAATTTTAATTTTATTCTTGCAAGTGTTACAAATGAAATAAAGATTACGGGACTTGTGTAGTAATTTGAATTCAGCATCATTTAATAAAACACATTCTGGATGGTACCAATTACCGCATGGACCCTCACATCCGACAAGATTCTCTTCCCTTTTCTTCAATTTACATTTAGCACATGACTCGGGCATTTTACATTCTATATGTTCAAGTATATGTGTGCAGTTGGTTCGCACCCAACAGGTTGAAATTGAGAAAAAAAAAGCAGTAGATAAATTATTTTCAAGTCAATTCAAAACATAACACTGCTCAATGGAAAGTAAAAACAAATTTCTGTAACGTACCTTCACTTTCTAATGATAAAGAACACTTTATAAGCCGTTTGGTACTATCAAACTAAATTATAATTCGTAAATTGTGAAATAATTTGAACTTTACGAGGACAGAATCACAACAAAACTCACGGGTCAACTGCACACCTACGTTATGCTACGTTATTTATAGTTTGTGAGCAATGTTTTTAATACAGTATTCATTAAAGTTACTAAATAGTTTGAAGCTTTTTACTGATTTTTTTTATTCAATTTTAAACTTTTCAACAGTGTTTTATGGAAACTCTAAAAATGTGAGTTATCTTGTTTTTGCAGTAACCCAACGGGTATATTTATATTTTGTTTTATTTATTAGAGGTTCCCACTAACTAGTTATAGATAGATGGCTTAAAAAAAATAAATCATCATCCAAAAATATTGCGGCCCGTGTAACATAGCACACATACGAATGTGGCTCGATGGAAAAAACGGTTAGCACGCGCGTATATAATTCTTTCTCTACAGCTGTTGCTCGAACCGAATTAGTTTATATACTATGAAATGCAGATACACACGAAAGCGTTCAACTGCTTCTACTATAGCAAGAGTATCTAGATTGTAACAATCTTACTTTGATTTAGTCGTATGGCGATTATACTATGCAACAGGTCGAGTGTTCGGAACTTTCTTCTATTTCCATTTGATAGAAGCCTTCATGTCCAACGTGGTCAAATATTTCGATATACAAAAAGCATTAATTTGATCTTTATTACTTGTTTTGCTTACTAGCACAATAGAACTTGCATATTTTATAATATAATACTCTTAAGCTCTTTTCTGTCCATCACTGAATTACAATGATTTAGCATGGACTGAAAAGAGTAAAAGGAGTCGACCTCCCGAACTCAACATAATTTGGTAGCGTCACGGCCATAGCTGGTAAGTCGAAAAAAGTGTACAGGCGCGAATGTCGGCGCTTGCGTGCTAGATTCATCTGCGCAATTTGTTCCTGCCATTAAATTCTGGTTAAATTACTAATTTTTAGCCACGGTACGCGTAGTAATTTCACTTTTGATGTTAAACGGTTTAATTCACGATCAAATACTCTCAAAATACAATGTAGGTGTAGTACTGCCACTGTCTATTCGCGCACTGCCCACTTCGCTGGTTTTCCTTCTCGACATATCTTATGGGAAACAATTGCCTTATGGTACCTTTGAGGTTTGTTATTAAACTGCTGGTCCTATATGTTTGTCATTGGGTTTAAATGGATTTTTTAGGACAATAAAACAATCTAGTAATGGTTCAATTGTATACTATATATCAAACAAACTCTTTCAACTGTCTGTACCATTCCAGCTGTCTGGCAATTTATACAATTTTAATTTTAAAATTCCTTTTTTGCCCATTATACAAAAAACTGTCTTACAGTTGAACGGTTGTTTTTTTTTTCAATGAATAAATATACGAAAAAAAGTGAAATTGGATTTTCAGTGATTTTAGAAGGAACATCAAGACAACAGCACAGATATTAGCAAAAATGTTCAATTTGGTTCAATCAATTTATCGATGAATACACATATATTAATAATATATATTTCATTAAGAAAAAATGAAAATAAACGTTCACAGGAGCAATATTGTCCCAAGTTTTCCAAAATCACATTAACTATTTCTAATCAATTATACCTTTTAAATATTTAGTTATGGATGCCCTTTGACCCACAGAGCCAATATACACATATATATCAGAAAGTACAATAACTTGAATACAGAAAAAAATTTAAGTTAATATTTAACAACTCTGAAGATGTCTTCAGTTTCAAAACAAGAAAAAAACACCTAAACGAACAATAATTTTGTTTTTTTTTTTTTACTGAAAAATATAATTTAATCCGAAATCATTAACAATAAATACCTTGACTAAAAACTAAATCAGAATAATTTACAATGACGAATATCCAAAAAAGTTCAATACAATATTAACCCTTTCTTTACCAAGACCGGATATATCCGACAAAATCTACATTGCGGTAGTTCCCACTTCCGTATACAACTTGTCAATACTGACTTTAGGAGAATGGTGTAGAAACACAATGCTATTGAACAGAGAAATAGAATACGTCGCCGATTGCGAACCGCAATATCTCATCCTTGCCATAGGAAGGGCATGGTTAAACCAATTACTCTTTTTAATCATCCCACGTCTAAATTTAATTAAGCGTCTCATCTTTACTTTGCTTGATGCGTTGGTTAACGTACTGTATATACGTTCATCATTGAATAATCACTGGCACTCCCACTACATTTTAGCATTCTTCAGCCCCCCTGCCGTATTAATACAGCATTTTCCTGGTGCCGCCGACGCTTTAGTGCAGCTCTTCAATAAATATGTATAAGCATTTAAAACCAACGTCGTATTTATCCATCACTACTTAATTCGTGGTGGGGTATAGTTATTAATAGAGACAAAAAATAAGTATTCTAATATGACGAAACATATAACAGAGTAAATAAAAATCTTAATTTTTAGTTTTTATAAAATAACCTCCATTGGCTGGGTTTTAGATACCTGTAAAGATTCCAATGCTGCTTCCATGTTTCTCTACATTTTTATTTATTTCTTTATTTAATGTTTTAAATTTAAATTGGACCTGCCAACTCTTCATAGCAGAAACTTGTTTTTATAAGGCAATATTTTCTTCTTTCTATTTTTTTACATTCCATATTTGTCTTCTTCAACTGTACTTAAGAACGTTGCTGCATTTTCTTCAATTATCTGCGTCTTCTCTTTCTCATATTTGTCTTTTAAATTGCTGATTTTTACATTTTAATGAGTATGCGGCAGTGGGTGCAATGGCAAAATTAAAAAGTTTGGAAATGGTGGCACTGCAGCATTATAATGGTCGGTAAAGAAGGGGTTAATCAAAACTGGAATATATCTTAAGAGTTGCTATCGTTAACCCATACCATTATAGAAAGAAAAACAAAAAACTTTTTACGCTACAATTCCAAATATTTCTAAATATGTTTAAGCATTAGATTATACTATTTATTAGGTTATAAAATGTTATTTTAAATGAGACCGAGGGTTTCAGTTTATCGACACAAAAATGTTAAAAGTACAAATTAAAGAGTCTACCCTCGAAATTACATTCGCTTAGAAATAACTAAAAAGCAACTTAATTATAAAAAAACAAGAATAATAGTCCTAGCAGTGTATAAAGACAGTTTTGATGTAGCTAAAGCACATACCAGCCTTTCATTAGTTTTAGAATTTTGACATTTATTTTATTTGAAACTTTCAATGCCAAGTTAACTGACTCAAGTTTAAAAAAAATATATAGCAACTAGCATTTACAGTTGCTAATATACCTCATAAAATTCCTTAGCCTTTATATTACTAAGATGAAGATTCTTACATTATTTTCGTCGCATTTAGTTAGAATAAGATTCAAAATTACAATGAACCGCTAGGACTACAAAACAAAAATGAAATGATTTATTATTAAACAAATAGCGAATGCTGTCATATATATAATATCGACATTCAAAAAAAAGAAAGCAACAATTTTACAACAAAGAATACATACTGTTTCATCCTGGTTCGGACGAATTTTTCTAATTACAACTTCTATATTGTGAGCTAAAATTGATTGTAATTTGTATACTACAAAGTGTAGGGGGTATGGTATTGAACAGCTACTCGGGGGGTGGAGGGTTGTTCCGGAGACCATACGGTCTTAATCATGTACTAAGCATATATCAAGAAATCGAAAACAGCGTTGTGTCAAATGTTATCTTGTTTATATGCTGTATTGCCTGATTTTCAAACCAAGTTCAACAATTTTACAACTAAATTTTTGAATGGTTTCAAAATTGGGAAATGGACAGTTATCCATGGGTCTCCCTTCCTTTTAATCGATTTCAATGCAATTTAGCTAAATCAAACATTTTCAAAGTAACCATCGCTATGTGTAGGTGCTGGGAGATAAGCTTTTCCTTGACCCATAATTTTTTGTGTATACTTAGAATGTAGAAACAATGCATTTATCATTTTTAAATGTGTTAAATGCCCTGAATATTGCAAACGAAAAACAATATTTGACCAAACGCCATTTTCCAAAAATTCAAGATTCTTTGGGGAAAATTTTGGATCAAACGACCAAAATATTGATTTGCAATGAAACGCTCCAAGTAAAATTAGACGATTTATAAAGCCTTAAAGGCCCTATGTAAACGAATTAAGATCTGAAAGGGTCCAATAAATATAAGTTGAAAGCATACTCTGACATTCCTTTAAATCAGACATTTACAGAACTCCTCCTGAATTTTATTCAACACTCTCAAACTTATTGAGCAACTGCACTTTGCTTGTTACAAAATAATTTTCAAGATATTGCTTAGTTCAAATCCGGAAGGGCAAATATTTCCACTCCATACGAGAAAAAACATTTTATCATATACTTTGTTTTTTTATTTTTGATAAGCAATTTATATTGGTTAAAAAACAAGAATCTATTTTGATTCGTTTTTGAGATTTTTATCCACACTTGCATGGTTTAAGATTATGTTTCCTTCAAAATAGTTCAGTTCATTTAAAAGCTATATTGTCTCCTATGAGCGACAGAGCAGCTTCCTGAACTCGGTTTATCGTTTCATAACAAAACTCGATCATCTTTTTAGGACGTTGAGTTAATAAAAAAGCTTTTTTTAGTTTGTTTAGATTGCGGTCGGGGTTTTGCAGCGCATACGAATGCGCGTACATTGGGCAATATCTGTTTGTTTTTTTATGTATTTTTGAGACACGACTTAGGTGCCTGCAAGAATTTTTTCAATGTCAAACTCTAAAGTATGGTTTGTTTGAAATGACAAGTCAATTCGCCATTTCCAGCTTGCAATTACAAAAAATAGACAGTTTTAAATTAAAATAGCACAATAATTACAAATACAAATTTTAATTAAATAACATTTTTTTTTAAATAGATCTGGACAAGTACGGAGCGATTCATTTGTATGGAGTAATGCTCATAACTTCGAGACAAAACAATTGAATAATAACTTTTATTCATGGAATATAATATGAGCATTATTGCTTATAAACACCTCACCCTGTATTTGTACCTCGAAATATTAGCATATATATGGCATAATTATCATTCGCCAGACTACCAATACCTTTGCTTTAAGCTGAAAACGTAAATAAACGTGGATTTCAACTTTTTAGCGTATCAATTACAAAATGACATAATTATTTGGTAAATTTCGAATGTTTTCCAAAAAAAATTCCGTTGTGTATATATATTATATAGCGAACCATCCTTAAATCATCAACCATCTTCAGCGCGGCCATCGTTTGCTAAATCCAACGTCTGACGTGCGAACTACAACAATTCATCAAAAATCGTCAATTGAGTTTTGTAAAATTCATCTCTGATTTAAATGATCAAAGCAAAATCTTTGAAACATTTTTTTTTACCTCCCTGTGCCCTAAAACTGAAAAATTTCATAAAACAATATATAAAGTATATAACTGGTCATTTAAATACAAAGATTGCAATAGAACTAAGGCACTTTGGGTAGAAAGGCAGGCTAAGCTCCGATTTTTGACGCATTTTTTTTCTAGGTTATAACGATCACAAGTCGGATTCAAAAAAACCACAAAAGATGGCCGGCGCCGTTTACGATCCCTATCAACAGATCTCTCTAACGTATATAAATACCATAAATATGATCACAGTGACGCTCACAGCGTCCTCTCAGTCAATATATAATTATAACAGTCGTAACAAACATAGAAAAATATACAAGGCTCTCGAAAAACAATCAGTCCTTCTTGAACACAACTCGAGCAGCATTGACACCTTAAATACTTTTTTAATTTTTTTTCCTCTTCCTTAATCGACGCTGACCCTGTTAAAACGTATCATTTTTCCCGTCCTCGAAATGTTCACCCATTAATTGAACAAAAAAGTAAATCATGTTGATGAAGACGTCACAGAACTGCTTAACTATTGATAAAAGAATATTACATAATAAGTATAATAATTTATTAATGTTCATGTGGATCTTTACACCAATATTTCAATTTAATTATAAAAAAAAAATAGTGTATTTATATGGGGTTAAATGAATTATATAGGGTTGATATCTTTGAACTGTAATATCTTAAATTCAATTTATAAGTAACGTCATAATGTAACGCCTGATGTTGTACCAAGTTCCGCCTTGAGCCCTTTATTTAACAAGATATAAAAGGGAGGATCCACAAAAAAACATTATTTTCTTTAGGGCGGGCTCCTTATAGTACAGACTTTAGCTGTTAGGCATATGTTCTAGGGATTCATCAGTATCAGTATACCTGCTGACGTTCTGCATTCCTCTAGTTCTAAAAAAAGACAAAATCTTATCATAATTTGTTTTCTAGCTATTACGGTTTAGATATCATTGGTGGTGATCAAAAAAGTATACCTGGTACACACCTAGTAATGTGAAAATTATTTGTTACGCTTTTTATCGAATTATTAAAAAAAAAAATCCTTACAACTTCAAAAGGGTCCAATATTGGTGTAAAATCCGATTACATTCTGGTGTCAAACAAACGCTGAATTACTTTTTTGCTCTCACAACTACATCGACGGAACGATTTCAACGCTGCTCAATAGAATATCGTTGTCGAGCTGATGCGAATTTAAAAACGCGACATACCGTTTTTAATTAAGTCCACTTTTACGGTCGACCAACATCATATATTTAATCATCGACCATCATCCGAAATATTGTCTATGTAAACCTACATACTAGAAAAAATACTAAAAAGGATGTTGCACTTCCAATGTTCAGCGCACACACGCGACGACGTAAAAAAAGATAATAAAAGTGAAGAAAAAAAATTGAATTTTTTTTATGGAATTCTAATTGGACGAGGCGGCGGCAGATTCTACTTTGCACGGTCCGTCGCCCTGCCCCTTGTGTTCGACATTCTTGGTGCAGTCTTCTTTCTTCCCTCCAGCCCCGGTGGTGCCATCTTCGGATATGACGACGTCATTCACTGGCACGTCTCTGAAAAAATTTGAGTTTTGGTATTATGTCTTTCAAAATATATTAGATTTCATAATGGTACGATTAAAGTAATTCAAATAATGGCCATTTTAAAATTATCTTTGATAAAACTTGCACAACATGTACATCTCTACAATTTTCTTGCTGTTCCGATTGTCTTAATGGTCTTATAGTTCTTTTATTGTATTCGAGAGGTATAATAAAAAATGTGTTCAATGGGAGCTAACTTTTTAATACCCACCAGATTAAGACAAGCTACCATAAAGCGTTTTTTCAAATCTTACAAAATTATGTTTTGTCAACTAATATGGCTGGTCTAAATGACACAAGTGTGTGTGTGTGTGTGTGTGTGTGTGTGTGTGTGTGTGCGTGCGTGCGTGAGCAAGTTTTAAAAGAACACCTGTTAGCCCTCATTGCTTCAGAACTACTTTTTGAACGGTTTTGAAAAACTAGTCTAATAAAAAAAAATTTTCTAGGTGATGACAAGAACAAAATTTAACTTAGTTACTGAGAACTATTGCAACTTTCTTTAGTATAAAAAGGCAATATTCAAAGTACGAGACTATCATTACGTCGTTCAAACATTGTTTGAATAGTTATGCTATGAAATTTACAGAACATGACATTTTGACGCTACCTTTAATGTTTTTCTGACAGGGATTGCAGATAAGCTCAATCATTTATAACGATACTTTTTCAAATTGTTTTATATAAATATTAAATATATTAATCTTTAAAAATATGTTGATTCTGTCACGCTTCATGTAAATTCGCATTTCTCCAAATTAAAGATAACACGTTTAAATTATTTAAATAACACAATGTATGAAAAAATCTTGTTAAACTATGTCGTAAATTTGTTCTAAGTTGCAACAGAAAAGATTATTACAAAAGAAGTAACCGAGTTTATGATGGAGTTTTACCAAGCAATCAGCATGTTATGCCCAAAAGATCTGTTATTACAATTCTTCTAAGTGCAGTTAACCAGTGGACAGCTTGGAATGACAACAACCAGCCAATTGATGTGATAAATCTTGACTATAAGAAACCTTTTGATAAAGTTCTACGTAGAAGGTTGCTCAGCAAACTGGAACACTTTTGAATAAGAGGCAATTTATTATTGTGGATTAAGAGTTTCTTATTCAACCGGCAGTTCTGCGCAAGAAATAAATTGGCAGCTGTCAAACAACCATCCAGTAGAGTGTGGAGTACCACAAGGTTCGTCTTGGGTCCCCTATTATTTATTTTATACACCAGCGATTTATGCAAAATCATCGAGTCCGAAGCCAACTTTTATGCAGACGACGGAAAGATCTACTTTAAGCTACTGGAAAGTCTCATAAAATGAAACAAGACTTAAATAAAATAGGAATATGGACCCAGCAATTAGGCATTCCAACGACCTGTCAAAAAAATGCTGCCAGTGGAATCTGACATTTTAGATACAGCAACCCTGTGGGTCTGTTGTCATTGACAGGGTTAATGATATATAGTTAGATTGCTCAAAGCGGGTAGTTTGCGAGCGGCCATATCGCCTGGAAAGTGCTCATTAATTTGAATCGGTTTAGCCAAAATGTGTTTTAAAACGAATTTCTATCATGTTCCTGTCAGTGGCCTGTCATTACCTACAGGCAACCATTTTGTTTGGAATGCCTAACGGCTACTACCCCTCAACATAAATAAGTGTACAGTATTGCACTTTGGCCCAAATAATCCCCACACACAGTACACCATAGATACAAACACAATAACTCTACGGTGTAATCATATCTAGAGATTTAAAATGGGAAACCCAGATTGGTCAAGTCTCATTTACTTTATCAAAAGAGCTTGTTAAATACCCTTCCAAGGATATGATCCTGAAACTGTACACAACTTACATAAGACCAAATATAGAATTGGCACAGACCGTTTGGGATCCATACTTTGTTAAAGACATTGAACTGCTGGAAAGAGTACAAAGGAGTCACCAAAATACCACCAATCCTACAAAGCAATGAGTATTGTGAATGGCTAGCTAAACTACAACTTTCAAGTTTAAAGAATAGAAAAACTAAAAGGAAACTTGATAGAAAGTTACAAGTAGATATTACACCTGTGATAACAGCTTCCCTGCCAGCTCATCAAGAACCTTGAGAGGTTACTCGAAGAAATTGGTTAAAGAAAAGTGTAATAAAGTGCAAAAAATTTATTACAGACAGACCTATATATCTGTGGAATGGTCTCCAGGAACATACAGTCACATCCCACAACATAAACTAGTTTAAGGCGAGAGTAGATAAAGAACTCCAAGAAGGAAGAAATAATTTTATTAATTACAGTTTATAGTTTTAACTGTCTTGTAGTAATTTAGAATAATTTTTGTCACTAACTAATAGAGCAGCTTCATCGACTATGTCGCTCGCCTCTTCTTAACAATAATTTAATAATTATTAAACATTAGGCTAATAGCAGAATTCACTTGGTATGATATTCTCAGAAGCGTCTTCAGATCGCGGAGACTATGGTCCAAGGCTCGATCTAAAACGTTATGAAGTTGAACTTTTAACAAGAACTTAAACCGAATATGTCAAATTCATTAAAAGAATGGTATGTAACCAAATTATTTTTAAAGATTAAATACATTCTTGAAAATAATAGAAATAAAATGTTAATCAATACCTATAAATACCCTCTATTTTTAAGTCTACTTGTTTTGTCACTGTAATTTTCAGTGGAACACAAATTACATCATCACTATATGCATAGACATCATGTTTATGAATTCTTTATATTTTTTCATGAAAACTACAGAAAAACTGAATGCAGTTGGGTCTAGAAAGCACAATCGCCATTTTCTATGTTTGTAGGAATTTACCTCTTTGGTATATTTATATTTTCTTTGTAAAATAAATACAATCAAAAAGTAAAATTATAAAACTGGGTTTATCAAAGTTCCATCAAATCAAACTTATTAAAATTTTTAATACCCTATAATATATTTATTTGAACTTTTTGGTCATTTTAACATATTTATGCAGAAATTTTTAAGAAAAATGAAATTTATCCTGGAAACATTCTATATTATGTAACAAAAAACATTAGTCATTAGTCGATGCAAAGTAAAAATTTGTTTACTATAAGTTTCATAACACAAGTTAGATAAATTTGAGAAGTCATCAGTCTCTGAAAATATATTTTTAAACAGCGTACCAGCTACTATAGAAATATGAATATTATAACATTTCCGTTATAAAAAATCAAAGTCATGTTTTTCAAATCCGTTTGATTGATATAATGTATAATTATGATTAAAATAAAAACTACATACCCATTATCAGTTCTGACAGTTAAAGCGACTCCCGGTTGCTTTTGCCCCTTGTTAGATTTGTTAGTATTACGCTTTTTGTTTGCCTACAAGAAAATTACTTTAGAATCAACTACAGTGTGATTAAAAGCATAATAATTTTAAATAGTGTGCAACCAAAAGTAAAAAAAGCATTTTAATTAAAAAAAAAGAAAGCTAAATGTTAATTATCCAATAACAGATTTTTTAAAATAATAGTGAAATATAAAGAAATAGTTCTTGCTACAATCAGGAAGAAATAAAAAAATAAAACTGATTATGATTTGACCATTTTGGTAGATTTAGCAGAAAACCTACAATTCAATCCAAGAACTAGAGAAAATAAACACAGAAAAAGTAGATAGCTATAGGTAAGAAAGATTAAAGAAAATGAAAACTGAAAAAAAAACCTGATACAATGAAAAAGGGGAATTGGCCTGAATTGAGGGAACAAGAAAAGAAACAGTAAACACAGTCATAAAACAGGAAGGATAACAGAAGGCAATTTTATAATATAATGGATACTTTATTAGTATAAGAGAATCAATTAAGGTACCCTTTAAATATTAAAAGCTCCTTTAAATTTATTATGAAATTTTATAAAAAGAAAAATGTCCACTTCATAATAAATCTGTTTTGCTATTAAAACAATTAAGCATAAATCATATCAAATTTTAAAATAGTAAAAAAATGTGCAACAAAAAAACAGTATAGTTCTCGAAAATTAAAAGTCTGACTAGCGATATGATACTGAAGGAAAATTCGAAGAAGCAGATATTAAAGTTAACTGTCTCCTTATTAATATTATCACAAGCAACTAAACAAAAACTTAAGTTTTCGAAATAAAAAAAAAAAAAAACAGACAAGCAAAATGTTTATTTAAATATACCAAATAAAAAACATTACCTGGTTCTTTCTGGCGTTGACTGGAAAAGTGGGCATTCCAGGTCTGCGATTCTGTTGTCCTCCTCTTCCTCTATGACCGCCACCATGGCCGCCGCCACCACCACCACCATGGCCGCCACCACCACCAAACGCGTTTTGATAACCACCACCGGGTTGACCGCCGCGCCCCCTTCCACCGCGCGGATTGTGGTGGTATGAGGATGGCATCATCTGTCTGACCCCTCCCTGGTAGCCGTAATTGGCACCCCAAGAGCCCACCACCACGCCCGCGACTTGCAGTTGACCGCCTCTGGACGGAATCGGGCGCTGACGGAGGGAGGCGGGCCCGCCGCGCGTTGACTGCAGGTTCATGTTCGGTAGGCAGTGTGGAGGTGGAATTGAACGAAGCATTGGCTCTGTAATTTAATTTTCGTTAATTAATAATAACTAGAATGAAGATAGCAATTTAATAGACCCCCTTAACCTCCCCATTTTTAATCGGACTTCTTTCAGAATCACTTCATCCCAATAGAGCTTGATTTTTCCTGAACATTTCAAGTTGATATCGTTTATATCTGCACAATATAGTATAATGAAAGGAAAATCTTCTTTCAATAGATAATTATGACAACTGTTACATATTCCTGTCATTTTCTACTGCCTATTAATGACGAATTTCAATATAGTGAAAGGTAGACATTTCTTTCTAACAGACTTCCTAACTCTTTAGAATAAATTAAAATACTTACGTCCGGTAAACGGGGGTAAGGGCACTTTGGCGAACTTAACGTCGAGCCCTTCCAAAATCGCCTTCCGCATACGTTCGACTTTGACGACTCTTTCAATGTAGTTTTCGCAGACTTCCAGAATATTTTTGGCGTGCGATGATCTGGTCAGCGTATAGTGGAACAATTTGCCGTCGAAGTAAAGCCACGGGCAGCACATGAGCCAGGGCAGTGGAGCCCCGCACGCGTCGTTCGCTATCAGAGCCATATCGACTCCTTTCATAAAGAGCGCCGCTAGCTGGACGCCTCGGCTTGTCACTACGTTAAGCTAAAAAACGAAAAGCAATGTGAGATGTCAATTACAAAAATGCTCGAATATATTAAGTTATCTGTTTACTTATTTCACGATTAAGAGGCAACAATTAAAAAAAAATAAGAATATAAATTATGGTCCATGGGTAAAATAGAGTATTCAGTTAAATGTTGTTTTATTTGGCTTAATTAATAGACCTTTAAAAACATTTTTGATAAGGTAGGAAGTTCTGTCATTGGACGTTGATTGATTTTTCTTTTTATTATATCGCTGTTTTTTTTTTATTTCATTTATTCAATTACAATAAATAATTTTATAGAAAATAGTACAGTTCTCTAAGTTCCTTAAATTATTTTTGCACCTAGGTGAGTGATGAAATTGTATGTGCATATTACAAGATTGTTTATAAATTTAATTCACTTTTCCTTGGTGATTTAAAAATCTGTATCTGTTTAAAGAAATGTTAATAGTTAAAAACTAAAAATAGGCGAACATATTATTTAATAATTTAATTTGAAAATTAAAATAAAACATTACAGTAATGCTAAGATGTAGGTCTAGATTTTTTTGGTTCTGGAGGAGAATCAACTTTAGGAATATGATTTACTAGACCTTTCTTTCAGTAATTTGGAAAATCAAAATTAGATATACAAAAGTGTATGTGCTCAAAATGCAGAAAAAGATGACACAAAAATATTTTTATTTTTAAAATAAAGTTTGATACTTATTGGGAAATGTTTTGAAATAAAATTTTGAGGGATATTAACAGCACTTACCGTCAGTTCCTGCAAATACTGAGGATTCATCAGATTCGGATTAAAAGCATGACACAAGAAAGCGTCCAATTCGTGCCTTCTCATAATGGGTTTGTCCTGGGACATGATATACCTCAAAACGCAAGCCATCATCAACATATGCTGAGGAACGTAAGCAGTGTTTAATATTAACGGCGTATCGGAGTTAAGGCAAGATAACAGAGCGCGCATCCTGCGTCTCTTGTCGTCCACCGACGGACCAAACCACAATCTTTGAAGCGTCGGAACTGCCCACGGTAGCGGATCCGCTTTTACTTCCTCTGGACATTGGTAAGGATTGGAACGACTGTAGATCCACTCTTTGACAATGATATCCGGTTGCGGGGTGTTGTCCGGAAGCTCGTTGGCTTCTGGGAAAAGTAAATTCACATATTTTAAATTTTTCTACATTTTAAGCTAAAATAAAAATATACAAGATGACACAAAATAACCACAAAACCAACGTACCTTTCTTCTTCGAATGTACATATCTCAGATGATGTAAGTTGAACAATACAGCATAAATTCTCTGTCTCAATGGTTGATAGATGTCATGTATGGGAGGGAACTCCCGGTTTCCTTCATCTTCCATCAAACAAGGTAATCGGATTTCTTGAGTGCTCAAAACATGCAGTATCAGCGGTGCCATCAGACCTTTCTGGTGACGAAGAGAGGCAGTGCGCAGTACATCAGGGGATACTGATGGTGTAATTAAGTGTACGTAGGCTAAAAACGGGTTATTTTGTAAGAATTATAAATATCTATTGTAGTCATGCATTTAATAAATTAATAAAACACATTAGGAACATCAATCCACTTCCTGTGTCAGCGTGAAGGTTTGCCTAAATTGAGGTTTCTAACACTAGGTAAAGAAAAGCCAGAATCTAATCAGGATTAGCCTGTTTTGGAATGTTTTTTTAATACTTGTAACTTCCAATTTTTTTATTTTTATGTAAGATTTCATGTGTTGGAATCTACTAGACAATGGCTATGATGCTGGCTTGGTAAAGCCGAAAGCAGTCAGCCTAATATAAAAAACATTTTTACACACAATAAGCCCAGGGACAGCGGAGACTTCTTATGTGTCTGTTTAAAAGTTGAAAGTAAAACTAAAGGGTTTTCCATTAAGTTACATTTTAAATTAGGCAGCATTTTTGATCTGTTGAAAAGAACGCCTTGAATTCCTATAATTTGTTAGTAAACATTGGAAATACAGGCAGATAATTCTGACTTTTTTAGAAGAACAGATCTGTGTTATTTAACATTCATCACAAATTCTGAACAACTGAGCCCTGAGAATGTAGAGTACTTTTTGTGATTCATTAAAAACCATGAAAGAGACTCTGGCCTACCTAACCTGATGAAATACAACAATCTTTAACTAAGTGACCCCTCAGATATAGCCAACGCTTTCCCTAATCATTTTCAAACGTGTTACACAAAAAAAGACATTACCGATTTTACTTCAGCTGCATTAGTGTCATTTTCATCAACTCTCTCTTCATACATTTAAAGTAGAAGTGTCATCCAAAATTAAACGTCTAGATGCAGCAAAAAGGGCTGCTGCGACACACTCTCTTTGCCTTTAAGTCTAATTTTTCAAAAAATGTTCAATAGTGGAACATTTCTTACTGTTTGGAAATTGTCTAACTTGGTGCTAATTTATAAGGAGGGAGACAAAATGACAAAAAATTATCGAGGCATTTTTATAATCTCTGGCATACCTAAATTATACGAATCCATCCTAATTGATGAGGTATTTGCCACATACAAAAATTACGTTTCTCCATGTCAACATGGGTTCTATTAACTGTATGGTTATAAATTCTTGTGGTCAAAAAATGAAAAAGTGTATATAAGAAAACATGATGGTGAACCTTCAGTTCGAATAAACAAGAAGGAAGACTTAAGTCCCAAATTTTACAACAATCTTGATGAGTTTAAAAATGAAGCAAATCAATCTGTTTTTTCTATACTATACTTAAATGCTCGCTCAGTACATAATAAGTTATATGAAATTGAAGGGCTTAATAAACTTGTCAATCTACCTGATGCAATTGTTGTTACAGAGTTGTGACTTTCTCCTGGTGAGGAAAACTATTTTAATTTGCCAGATTATAATGCAATTTATGAATCAAGAAATAAAACGGGAGGTGGAGTTGGCATTCTAGTAAAAGAAGGCTACAATTTCACATAAACTGACAGGTTAAGTAAAACATATTCTATGCTATTTATAAGATTAGAACAAAGGAACTTTATTAGGTGCTATATGTAGACCTCAAGAATTTAATAAAAACACTTTTTTTTAAACGTTTTAGAAGAAAAGTTAGAAAATATCAATAACCATAAAAAGAAAACTTTTATTTTGGGAGACTTTAATATTAACTGTTTAGATAAAAATGATATGTACAAAAGAAACCTTGATTACCTAATTGATTCACTAAATTTTATTAATTTAAATGATAGCATTCCAACTAGAGTGCAGAATAATTCAAGAACTTTAATTGATTATGTTTGTTAAATAATGAATACTCTAGTTATTTGGCTGTTATTGATTACTGTTTAAGCGATCATAGAATACAGATATTGCAAGAAAAACAATGCAATTCAATTAGCATGTAGAAGGGATCTTCAAGGTATAACTAACACTGTGTGGCAGGATCCAAATGTATTGTGTGATCAAATAGTGAGAACAGTCCAAAGCAATACCACATGTAGGACATATAAAGACCGTTTTAGAACTAAAAGTTGTCCATGGTTTAACATTCATTTGCATAAGATAATCAAGCACAGAGATACGTGTTTTCATAATAAAATATCTAAGCAACAAAACACAGTGAATAAACTGCAAATAGAAGATGACTCTATAGAAGTACCTAAGAAAATTGCAGATATTCTTAACACCCATTTTACAGAAATAGGTAAAGCCTTAGAAGAAAATAAACCGGAGTCTACTTACACGAAACCTAGTTATAAACCATCAACAACTATATCAATGGGAGTTAACTACCCCTCAAGAAATGAACAAAGTAATTTCAGAGTTAAAATCGAGAAAAGCCTGTGGTGCTAATGGTATATCTGGGGACTTGATCAAACATTTCAAAAACGAGATGTTGGTTATCTTAAGTAACCTAATAAACTTAACTTTCACTCATGCTTCAATTTCCAATGGACTAAAAGTAGCTCAAGTTTTACCATTATTTAAAGAAAGGCTAAGAACTTCCACTAATAACTACCGACTGATATCTCTATTAAGTTCTATCTCCAAAGTCCTGGAAAAATGTATTAATCAAAGGCTTGTTTCTTATCTTGAAAAAAAGAATTTTTGGTACAAGGGACAGTATGGTTTTCGTAGTGGAAGTAGCACAACGTCGGCAGTAACATATGATTACCAACATCAGACATCATGTGGATGAAGGCAATGCATGTATCATTGTTTCACTTGATTTAAAGAAGGCTTTTGATACTGTTAATCACTCAGTACTGTTATTTATTTTGGAAGACTATAGAATAACAGAAAATGCATTCTTTCTTCGGAGATTATTTCAATGGTCGTACACAGTTTATAAGTAATGGAAATACCTCAAGTAAAATGGCTGACCTACAATATGGTGTACCCACTGATCTGTATTATTTTACTGGATAGGATATAGCCCTCTAAAAAACGTTCCGAAAAATTGGCCGATTTGGGCAAATAATATGGCGGACCGGATGTTATTTAACATACCCTCTATTTCCATTTGTCATCACATTTGTCATTTAATTGTGTCAACATGTTACGATGAGATGTTTTTTTTTATTTATTTAGGTAGCATTACTATGATATAAACAATAAACGTTCATTCGTGAAGACACAATATGCTTCACGTTTTCATTTTTATATTTTCTTTCATAAAAAAATCAAATTATGGGTGAATTGTCCCGAAGGACATTGCCGCAAAAGGAATAGAAGAAGAATAAGAAAAAAAACTAATCAAATTAAAGGTTAGGTATGTCAAATTATCCCAAAATTCAGTTATGCGATCCCACCATAATTTGCCCAAATCGGCCAGCAGTGTTGCACTTCCGGTCTCCTTGGTGGAACGGATTTTTAGTATGTTAAATATAGCCTATATCCTATCCAGTAAAATAATACAGATCAGTGGGTGTACCCCAGGGGTCAATTCTTGGACCAACGTTATTCCTGATCTATATAAACTCCATAGCTCAGCTACCATTAGCTGGTTATTTGCAACTTTATGCTGACGACGCTTGTCTCATCTATTTTGGAAAAGATACAGACGAAATAAAGTATATTATAGAGCAAGATCTAACTCAAATTCTTGAGTGGTTAAAGTTTCATAAATTAACTCTGAATACTGAAAAGTCAGAACAGTTGACTAGGACAGAATGCATTAAATATCCTGCCATTGGAGTATTGGGACATGTTGCCTGCTACCTTTCAGCTGACTTAAGGTAGACTCTGTATCATTCACTAATTCATTCACATCTATCATATTTAACTCTTATTTGGAGCAAAACTTCCCAAAAGAGACTAAAACCCTTGCAAATTCTACAGAATAGAGCAATCAGAAAAGCTTTTCAACTTCCTTTTTGTCATCCTACTGATCTTTTGTATCGTCCAAATAATATTCTAGAGATTCAGTCCCTCTCTAAATATCAGACATGCATTTTTATTCATAACCTATCTCTGAATAATATACCCTCATCCATACAACTGACTACTTCCTATGATATCTATTTAAAAAAGAACACAATTTTGTTTTCACGTTGCATAAAAAATATACGCCATTCTTACTCAGTAAGTCAACCTAGCTTGCACAATAACACTAGAACATGGTGCAGTTGATATTTTGCATCAATTTTAATTTTATTATTTAATTATCGATATTGACGTGTACAACACAAAACACTTTTTCTACACCCGTATTATAATAATGCACTTATATGCCCAAAATCCGTTTCATAATGATACCCATTATGATACAGATTTTTCATTATGATACAGATTTTTAATCAATAGAAACCTACAATTTTTCAATCAAGCATGATGTTTGACGTTTGTCCTAAATTCCTATGTAATTGTTTTAGTTGTCAAAACGTATTAAATTTTCGTAGATAGCTAAACTTCGATAATTATAATATTAAAATGTCTGATATCAGCGATATAGAACACTCCTCCACACATATAGGAGAAAGGAGAAAATGCAGTACAAAATATTTTGCCCCAAAAATCTGTGGTAATACCAGTACCCAAGGTAATACCATTAATTACAATTTTGTAGAATTTTTTATAGAAATACGAGTAATTACTGTTATTGTGTTCAATACCAATATAAATAGAATATTTATAGGTCTTGATTATTTATCGGGTGTAGAAAAAATAGCGTATGCAAATCTCATGTAAAGGTTATTACATGATCGTTGCATAATATACTATTGTATTTTGTCCCTAGTACAAAATAAAGAATTTAGATTTGTACTTTAAATCTTTTTGAACTAATTGAAAATTAATGTTTCTTGTATAATTAAAATGGAATTTCTTAATAGAAAACTCTATATAAACTAAAAGTTTGTTTATATTTCCATTTTATGTTTTGAATCATTTGTGTTAAAAATTAATCTGTTTTCCAAAGCAAATTCAACTAATCTTCCACGAGTTGTTATTAGCATGGTGATGGAATTTAATGCCAGTATTTTATGCCACATTTTATTGTCAAGCTGAAAAACAATAACTCAAAAATTTCATATAGAATTTCTAATGAATATTGGACAACAATGTAAAATTTTGTAATTATTCTACTGTTTGCTTAAGAGTACGAATAATAAATAATAAATTGTTTACAAATTCAGATAAGAACTGTACAGAGCTATACGTAATATAAGGACAAAAATAAAATAGATTTAATGAACTTATAATTGAAGGTCTTGGTGTAAAAATGAGGCTAGCCACAATTTGTCATGAAGTGAATGTTTTAGCTCAAAACATCTGTTAACAATCCGAAAGATGGCGCTATTTTTCGTAATATTTATATTTAAATAATTTTATTTGTATTTGATAGATTACAAATTTAAAACTCAATTTTCTCAAAACTTACTTAATGTGGCATGTAACCTTATTATGCCAAGGGTTTCAATTATAATTTATCAATATCTACAAACTAACAGTAGTATTTCAACAGGGTATACTTACATGTTGATTTGTTAGATTTGGCAGCTTTAGGAGAAGCTGGAATGCTAGTGCTAGAGTTTGTGGTCCCTGCCAAAATGTTTACCCTGCTTCCGGAAGCGCTTGCCGAAGGTTTGCCTGAAGATACCGATCCATTAGACACGCCATTGAATCTTGAAGAATCAGAGGATAAAGGAGAATCGACTACAAAAACAAAATTAACGTAAATACAATCAATAATTTACGTTAAAGTTAAATAAATTCTTACATTTCCCATTTTGAGCGTTATTTATCAATCCATCTAAACCGTCGAATTCGCCGATAACAGAATGCGCCGTGGCTTGTTTGTAATTTTGCAAAGTTTCTTGCTAAAATACGATAATTTTACGTCAATTCAATATACCTTTGTGTTGCAATATTAAACTTACCTCTTGTTCAGTGGTTTCAGATGCAAAACCTGAAGTGTCCAAGTCTTGATCTTCAGATTTTGCGTTGTTGGGTGTTTGATCCGTATTTGCTGGGCCTTTCTTTGGTTTGGATTTTACTGAAAAATAATACTGTAATATATTGGTTTGTTGAAAAGATTGTTATCCATATATGTTATTGCTTTAATCAGAACGCTGGGATATTGTCTTCAGGTTAATTTCAGACCCGAAAGATGAATCTCATCATTTCAAAAAAAAAAAAAAACTACTCCATTTTCCTTATTTGAACTCGTGGTGGCCCATTGAAATTTTACATATTTCACTGTGTATATTAATTTTAATTCATATTTTTTCGAGTTTATATACTTTGACATGTCATTTTTATCATTTGAAGCAGTGTTGTCAAGTTGTATTATATGAAAAAATAACAGAACTAGAGAAGTTTATAATCAATATATTATAAAAATAAATGTCAGTAGATTGGCTGCAAAAACCATTTTACTGATAATTTAAATTTGACGTTATCCCTGTTAAATGAATAAGTATTACCACCACACATTTACCAGGAATTTGCGGGTTAATAACCAGATTTTTTTAACTTTCCCTGTTCACAGTGTTGAGATAGTTTCGGCCGTTTTTTAGATCAAATTGCAAGTCGCATCCCATTTAAAAATCAAAATTTCAACGCTGCATGTAAAATAGTAAATCGTTTCCCAGCAGTCTTTATTTTTGAAGGATTACTCTTGAAGTCCGATTCACGTACTTATTAACATTCTGTTTGTCAAAGTTTCACCAAGGTACACAAATGATAGTTTCCTTTTGCATTTATAAAAATTTATGCAAAAATGTAATTTTAGCTGCAACAATATATATTTGTTCACAGAATTTTTTGTCCATTCACCGTTTTATATTTATAGATCATATATATTTAATAATTTTGTACAACACTGATCCAAAACCTTTAAAATTCTAAATTTTCCTTAGTATAATGTCAAGTATATAGTATTCATTTTTAGAATATAAATAAGTTTTCTTTATGTAATTTTTTATTGATTGATAACTTTAGGCGAAATAAATAATTCTTATTATTGTAATTTACATTTGTTTATAAAAATATTCATTGAAAGCTTTGTGGATAAATGCTTTATTATAACTCCGTAGTATACCTATTTGAATAAATAAATGTACAGAGAAGCGATGTTTGACTTTTACAACTACCCCAAGTTCAAATAAAAATAACGGAGTATAAATAGTTATGTAATTAAATTAGTTACCATTTTTTTTTAGTTTGGTGTGCTTACCAGGAGGAGTGCAATATTTTAAAAAGCCACTGGCAGTGCCATTTAAATAATACTGCACAGATTGTCTAAATTTTGAAGACCTCTTATCTTCTAAAGACTCAAATACAGCTGACACTAACGCGTCCATATTGGATGGTGAAGGGAGAGTACTGACATATTCAGCCAGCTTTTTAATGTTGCCTTCAGCATTCTGTAACTAAATTAAAGGATTATAGTTTTAATAATGTTTATGCTGATCGATGGGAGCCAAATAATTCATTTAGAATAATCAGAAAGAGTATGGGATCATCAATATTAACTCAGACCCGAAAGATGGAAAAACATCATGTTAATTGAACAGTTTTGTATCAAAATACATTAAAAGCTTGCTATAAAGCCCATCAGGGTTCTCACTGAGGACCGATTTTACTTAAATTATTCATGCAAGTATTTAATCATATTTGTAGTAGACTCAAAAATATTTACAATAGTAAAAGATACAAGTTAAATAAATTTTATTTGCAGGAATTACACATTTTATAAGTAGCAAATTCATTCATAAAAATGGCAATACTTACAGTTTCTGCAGTGACTTTGGCCAAATTTAGCTTTTTGTACAAGTCCTGTAGTTCACTTTCTGGCAACAAGAAATTGCCCAACAGAGCTGCCATTATGCAAACTTGTTCATGTGTAATTTTCAAAGTTTTTGTTAATTCACTGACCATATATTCTTTAGTTTCAATGGATCCCTGAAATTACATCAGATAAAAAAAAGGTTTGTGAGACATTTACTAAATTTAATAATAAACAAGAATTTTTAGAGGTTTTAGTTTTTTTTTTTTTTTTTTTTTTTTTTTTTTAATTATCAATCAAAGTTTGTTCTAAGACGACACTTATTCCTCAGGAAGAAATTTTATCACATATTTACTACAAGGGATTATAAGAAGTCAAGACAGCCTAGTTTTAATTCCCAAAATTAGAGTTGACACTTAAAAGCTTAAAGATTGCTACTACAACAATATAAAACACATAATAAAATATAAAAATAAGTTACATAAAATATGCATCGTCATTTACCTTATATGTAAGTTTTAAATTTTCTGATGAAAAATAACGTGGTGGGTCAAATGCTGCATATTCAGCATCGTCCGCAAGCAAACCATGGAATCCATATTCCCGACAATAAGCTATGACTTCCTGATGATGATCATCCATGGTACACATCTTGAAATTAAATAAAAATTATAAAATAACAATTGTATAAATTCATCTACAAGAAATTTCAGTAAATATAGAAGAAATGGTACTCACCACAGTGACTCCTAAGTGTCTGAGAGCCATTCTCAAAGCAGATCTCAGACAAGTGGGAGGGGTCCACCAAACTTTCGGTGGTGGAGTGCCCTTTGTGTTGATGTGTTTCAACACCATTCCAACTTTTTGGCGAACGTTTGCTTGTTCGGCGATCCACTCGTTAATTCTACATTGTTCAATGGTACCATTAAAAACTACAGCTAATTCAATATTTCCGCGTTCGATAGCCTGGGTCAATAGAGACAGGAATTGAACCATGCGGTTCCATTGGCCTCCACAAGCCCAATCTGAAAAGAACATTTTAAATGTCTAATTTGTATGATTTATTCTATAATACAAAAACTATACACAAATAAGTACTAAATCTTTGGAGTTGCAAGTCAATAGACTGATGATTTACATATACAATATGTTTACATTTTAATCTTGACTCCAGGAGAATAGTATAGAAACACAATGCTATTGAATAGAATAGAATATCTCGCCGAGTGTGGATCGCAATATCTCATCGAAAGAAGTGGTTAAACCAATTACACTTTTTATCCCTACTCACATCCAAATATAATTAAGCATCTTGTCTTAATTTTGCCTGATGGGTCGGTTAATGTACTATGAAAACTCCTACTAATAGTGACACGATTAACAGTTAGTTGCACCAACATTCATTAAAATTTACTAGCTTAATCAATTTTGACAGATGTTTAGACTGTCAATAATTTCATGTTCATGTCATTCAGAGAGTTCAGTCTAATAAAGTTATGGGATCATTAGCCTTGATAGATTTAACAGGCGTTCTTGCAACTGGGTGTAAATATTTCATTATCATACATTAGTTACTTATGAAACAAAGTTTAATAATCAGTTTATTATTTATTTAGTACACATCTATTCTATATAAAAGCCAAGTCAAACTTCATAGTAAATTATTGTTGATAAACCATTTCTTATTGGCATTTTAAATTAAATAAACTGAAGGTATTTATTATATACAATACTGATTTTCGTTTAAAGTTATTTGGCATTGCAGGATCACCTTTGTTATTTAGTATATATTGTACAACTTTTCTTATAGAAGGAAAACTTATAACATGCTTTTTTGAAACTAACCAAAAACCTTTTCTATTTATTTTTTTATTTATTTAATTATGGGCAAGCCCATTTGGGAAATAAATTACAATTTTAAATTATAATTAAAATGTAGTCAAATTATATATTATGCTGAAATACAAACGTGGTATAATTCATTACATATAGACTAAAATAGGCAAAAAATCTGAAAGATTTAAAAAGGCAAAAGACAATAAGATTGAATAAAATATTTACATTAAACATTAAAAATTAAAGATCAAATATTAAAGCTCAGTAATTGCTTTATAAATTTATAAAAGTGGGTGTTAAATATCTCTAGATCTTTATAAGTGTTGGCTAACCTTAACATTCTTGGAATACAACTGCTAAAAGTATGGTTAAAACGATAAAAAGGTACATAAAATGTTTGTTGCTGACTTGTTGAGCAGGTCGGAACATTTGTAAAAGTAAGAGATACAAGAAGTAAAAAAAAAACAATTTTCTAGGATGGACTTTTATGAATGATTTTGATTGAATGTTAACTTTCTTTTTAGTTTTATCAACTATATGATCAGCATTAGTAACATTACAACTACAACTATATTATAAATAAAAAATGAAATAGAAATAAATTTGGATCCCATCATAATACCATTGACGTAAATCGTTTTTCTAAAAATTTGAATGTTTGGAAAAATTTACTTAACACACTATAATATAATGTAAGCTTAATATTTATAATGGAGCTAACCGGATCCAATAGTTCAGGGCTATCAACTACCTATACCGTTTACAATGTTATTTAATGTATTGATTGATATCAAAATTGCTTGTTGAAATTTTTAAAGAAGGTGACTTTAATCGATTTGTGAGATAGTCATAATGTTCAAAACATACTATATCCTTAAAATCACAAATCTTAACATTCTTTTAGTTTTTTATTACTTATATAACTTATTCAAATAAGAATAATTTCTTGACCATAGCAGAATTTTATATAAATAAAAATTTCCTTGGTTTATTCGGTCTTTTTTTTATTTTCAATTGTTTAGCATAAATGTTTCGAAAAACTTTTCCATCTTCGGGTACAGTCATAAATTAATAAAACATGGGGATGATTACAAATTAAATTTTTTTTAAAATAACAGAAACCCCATCTTTCTGTTTCAGCGTGTAAATTAGTTTAGCATGATAATAAAGTAGGGAAACAAAAGGATCAGTTTTTACAAAGTTAAAAATTACCAGTGGCGTTACAGTTAAGGATAAGAAAGCTTACAATTATTAAAAAGTTTTCCGAAATATATGTAGTGCTGTGCTAAACAATTGAAAATAAAAAAAAGACCGAATAAACCAAGGAAATTTTTATTTATATTATATAATTTAAGTATTAGATATTAAAAATGTAGTTAAAATAAGTTAACATTTTTATAGCTAGTTAGCTAAAATTAATTTAAACTTAGCATCTCATAAAATGGTAACCATGCAAGACATAGTTGCCTGTCCGGTGAGAAACAATTTTATGAGGCACCTTGTTAATAGTATTTCAATTTAAGTTAATTAACCCTTAGTCGCTTATGCCTATAATTTTTACGTTATTTTTTAAACTATTTTGTTAAGGACAGTGTAATTCTAAAACATCTTAGAGGCATCTTCTAAGAATGGTTTAACTGTTTTCAACTTTTACTAATAATAATATTTGAAAAGTCTGAATATTAAATGATTTTTTTTATAAACAGGAGAAAAATTACAATGTATGAATAAGTAATAACATTAAATGGACACAAAAATAATTAAATGCACAAAATTTTAATATATCCAAAATACTTTTTAAGAATATCTCCTGAAAGAAATAAGTGTGCTTTCAAATTAATGATTATTTAAAAAATGTAAAGGTATATTTTCATACATTTCCTCAGCAAACTAGACGTTCTTGAGATGTCTAATACTTACTTTTTACCATTAATTTTTAGAAACATTTGTACTCAATAGAAAACACCTTATCAATTTCAGAAAATTTATTTATTTATTCACAGGCCTTGCCAAATAGAGTCAATCTAAATATTATGTCATAATAATGATAAACTAATAAACTAACAAAAATCATAAATATATTAACATGTACAAAATCAAAACAACTAATATTAAGACTAGGGAATTTAAGTCACAGTAAGTTTTAACACCCTCACAAAATTAGAAAAGCTTGAATTAAAGAATTCTAGACTATCAACACAAGCATCAGTGCTTCGTGAAACTCTAGGCATGAATGAATTGAGGCCAGTATTAGAGCTCATATAGGGCTGATGAAAACTGTTTATTGATCTTGTGCTTCTAGTTGGTGCTGCCAACATGCTTGAAATCAATGTAGGAGTCACCCATACAATTAATAAGCTTAAAAAAATTTCAGATCTGCCTGATCTCTTCTTATTCTCAAAGTGCCGCAAAATCATAGGAATAGTCATCTATCCTAGGAATATTTGATTTAAATGCTAAATAGTGAAGACATTTTCTCTGAACCTGTTCTAATCTATGATTAGTATACTGGGGGTTCCAGACTGAAGAGCAATATTCTAGCAGAGGTCTAACAAGACTACAGGACAATAACCTGAGAGTATTAATACTTGTAAAGTCTGATGTGTTTCTCTTTATAAACCCAAGCATACCAAGTGCTCTGGGTACTATTGTGTCAATGTGATTAACAAATGAGAGTGTGGAGTCCATAATATCACCCAGATCTCGAATGGATGCAACCTAGGACACTGCTGTAACCTTCATATTATATTGATAATCAATCCTGTTAATCTTCCTAGTAAAGGATATTGAGTGACACTTAGTGATGTTTAGGTACATAGCATTATTCGCAGACCACCCATCAAGCCTAACCAGATCAGACTGAAGTTTGAGTCAATCCTCAAGAGATTAAACTGCTAGGTAACACTTTAGATCATCAGCAAAGCATAAAAATTTTGCAAACTTGAAACATTCTGAGATATCATTTATAAATAATAAAAATAACAAAGGTCCCAGATGGGACCCTTGGGGGACTCCTGATTAATTGGGAATGTTTTTAGATGTGTAATTATTCAATTTAACTGATAAACAACTCGCCAGCCATTGCAATAATGTTCCCATGATCCCAGCAGTCTCCAGTTTATTTAACAAAAGTTTGTGATTGACCCTGTTGAACGTCTTGGAAAAGTCTGTGTGTATGGCATGCACCTCACCACCTGCATTCAAGACGTTTGACAGATAGTCAACAAAAGCAAGTAAATTCAGTTCTGTAGATTTTTAAGAAACCCAAATTGTTCTTCTATTATTGATAAACATAATTTAGATATTAAGTAATCAGCTACTATCTTTTCAAACAACTTTGGAAAAGATTATTTCTAAAACTGACCTATTCAATTTTATTTATTGTTATTCAACTATTTTAATAATGTAATTATTAAATTATAGCACTGATACTGTTTTATTTACTTAACTTTTATAAGTAAATATTATTTTTTGACTAAAGTGCATTATTATTCTAGGTAATGATTGATTAGGTACATACATTTATTATAATATAGTTTATGTATATATTTATGAGGATACCAAGATCAATAATAGAATAATTCAATTTGTAATAAATGTTGATATGATACTGTAAATGCTTAACCTTGGAAGAGTTATAAAAAAAGCAATATTTTATCTTAATTTATTTTAACTAGAACTTGATAAGAGCAGTTTGTTCTGCTCGACAAGGAATCTTTCATGTGTTCAATATTTAGCTTTTTTACTAAATACTTCATTAGATAATTCATCATTTACTTATAAGCTGTACAGTTACAAATTTATGTCAGAATCTAGTAGAAAAAATTATCTTAAATAAATAATAATAAACTCTATTTATTCTTTTCATTACAATAATTGTTTTTACAATTTTTTATTTACAAATTATAGATGCTGAATAAATATATACATTTAGTCCATTGAACCAATGAGGTTGTGCATGGACACTAAAAAGAAAATATAAAACATGTGTAACCTGTGTAAAAAAAATAAAGTATATAATATAAGTATGTTACCTATATATATTTTTTTTTGGTAGAGAGAGGAAGGAGAAATCATTTCTTAATTAACTAATTTAAACTTAGTTTTTAGGTACTGTTTATTAGGTTGCTAGTTTTATCTCTTCCTAGTAGAATTATATATTTTTTAAATATATTTTTTATTAAATTTTCTGAATTTATTTTGAAGAGATAGGTTTTATATATTTCTGGAAGATAGTTATAAATCTTACGTGATAGGTAACTATAAGAACGAAGACTAACGTTTTTTTGTAGTAATTCTATGACTGCATTATCGGTCTAGCTCAAAACAAACAGATAGTACAAACTACCTCAGAGAAGTAATTTGGATCCTGCTCATTGAACATATTTATTTAAGAAGAATACATATAACCATTTTCATACCAATAAAAATGTATTCTTCAAGGGCTGTAAGATGCAAAATGTTATAACTAGTTTCATTAACAACTTAGAGTACCTGAACTGTCGAACTTTTCCTTCCATAAGTTTTGTCAAGTCAGCCAATTAAAAAAAACTAAATCTGTTCATATAGACAATAATCAATAAAAAAGTTAAGAATCAGGAAAGTTAATTTTGTTAAACATAGAATACAATATGTGGAAAATAAATTCATCACCTCCCAACTGCTAACAAAATAAACAGTTTTCTTTTCAAAGCCAATTTTTTAACAGTTTTGTTAAATGTTTTTACTTAAAGTAAATTTGCTAAATATAGCTACATTTAGGTCCTATAATGTGTATTAGAAATATCTTAATATAAAGTTTTTTTACCAAGTGCTATAAATAATTAAATAAAGTAAGGTAGGTACTTTCACAAAAACTATGACTTACCAGAGAAATATCCTCCATATAGACGATCTAAACAATTTTCTGCATCAACAATGAGTTTTAATTTGTTACCAATTGGTCTAATTTTGCGATTAGTGTTGTGTGGTTGCTGTCTTTGAGTTACATTTCTAGCTATTTTCAACAGATCTACAGAAACTGCTCCACCTTCTAAACTGGGGCTCTCCAAAAACGTTTGGAGATCGTCGACACCCATTTTGGAGTATACAATCTTGTAAACGTTATTAATCTACTGCCTTTTTAATCAAAATTAATTTCAACTTGTATTAAACACTCAAAATATTCTACCCACGAATACGTATACCATTATGAAACGACCGCCATTATAAAAAGAATTCTTCTGTTTGTCTATACAATATTTAGACAAATAAAAATGCAATGTCGGTAAAAATCTAGGTTACGGAAACAAGTCTTTCAAGAAAACAATTTTTTGATGCAATCACTGCTAATATTACTTTTGAAACTGTAAACAAAAGGATTTTCATTCCTGGACGCCCTTCATGTTTGCAATCGCAAACTGCCGGCAAACAATATTAGCCATTTTTAGTGCCCCACTGTATCCACAATAATTAACTTAATAACTGTATTATTTGCATACTTTTTTAATTATTTCATACCGCTATTGGTCGTTACTGAAAATAATTAAAAACATTATACCCTTCAACCACACAAGAACCAAAAAATGAAATGTTTGCCGGAAATTAGATACATTGTCGAAGAACATGCGCATGTCAAGTTGAAAGCGGCGGATGTCGCTTCTTGTTTTTTTTAATTTGAATTTTCGCGGGACTGACTGACAGTGCGAAAACAACCTTTTCTTCGCTTTAATGCCATAAGTACATAAATTGCAAAACATAATGTATTTTTATTAAAATTTTATAAATAAAAGTATATTATAATTTTTTAATAAATACAAGATATAAATTGTGTAAACATGGTGTAAATAGCATAGAGTAGTGTAACGAGTTTTGAGCTAGATGAACGAACCTATTTATAGATCTCTGTAAATTCGTTTTATTTAACGACTGTAGTTCGAGCTCCGATTGGTAGAATGCGCTAATAGTACTGAAATGGTGAAATATTCGATCTATAGAGAAAGTAAAAGTTGAAAAGTCTTTTGGTAGGTAGAGAGGGGGTAAACGTCAAACCACGTCGGGCGGCTCCGAGAATTTCACAGTAATGTTTACCTGCCAGTGTCGTTTCATAGAATAAGTAATTTTAAATTGTTATCGGCGGAACCGGACAATCGCATGTATTTATGGATTATAAATAATTATTAAACATGTATTATAATATTCAAATTATAATTTTACAAAATTTCAACAGCTATTCACAATTTATTAAACTATTTACTCGAAATTGTTATTAACATCTATAAAATAATTTTGTACGCCAATGTATCGTGTCCACTTCGGTTAGATCCGCTGACAACCTGTCAAGTTATGTGTATAAAGTGGGAGAACTGGCAAAAGCATTTCCAACTTTTACTTCTGTTCTACTCATGGAAGTAGTGGGTTTAATGATTATCTAGACGGGGAGAGAGGAAAGGTACACAAAGGGAAAACTTGGCAGTGCCGTACCGTATGGAAGGAGTTATATATTGTTAATTACTATAAAATGCTAGATGAAAGCGAATGGACATGATTTTAAAAATATTGTTTCATAGCGTATATTTTTAACTTGCAATGTAAGAAAAGTATTTAACAGTATTGTGATACTACATAGACCATGCACAGGCTTGTCCTTTTGTATATTATTTATTTAATTTTATAGGATTATTAATTTTGTACTTTAAACGGACGTAGTTATGCAGAAATGATCCAATCCACAAATCTACCAGAAATGACTTGAGTAGCATTTCAATATGTTACAATCCAAAATTATATTCTGCTGAAACGATCCAACAATTTAGAAGGATATTAATAGTAAAAATTATAAAAACTCGCTATATATTCTATTGTTATCGCATAGAGAATTTAACTTTAACATCATTTTTCTCAAAATATGGTTTGGGTGGATTGGATCATTTCTGCATAACTACGTCCATAACAGTTTGTATACATTTTGAGTAATACCTACTATAAAGCTTGACTGATGAAGGAGAAAAGAAAATAGAAAAATATTGTGAACAACCCGTTTTATATGTGAAGCAAGAATATTATACATATTTCTGACTAGATGCCTTCCATTATGAAATAAAATAAAGACCAATTAAAGCATTTTATTTATCAATCAAAAATAGTTATACACAAATACGGAGATTAATGAACTTTATTATTTACAAAGTACTGTAGCAAAATAATGCCATACACAAGTTAGAGGGAACAGAAGAAATAATGGCATTGTGTTTGTTATCTATTTTAACAATTCTGACAATGCATGAAGTGGTGTGACTAATTTTAAATGGGTAGGCGTCGATTAAAATTTTCTGATGTATTTTTAAATACCTATGATAATAATTCCTAATTTAAAATGGTTTTATTTCGATAGATGGCTATTTTTTAAAAATTTAAATGCAAATAAAAACCTACAATAAATAGGTAGGTACATTTTATTTAAAAATTAAGTTCCATAATAAATATAATTCAAAATAAGCTTCTAGATTTAGATTTTAACATTTTATTTTCATTTTTTTAAAATAATATTTAAAGTACTTAATTCGTAAAACGGCTTTTTTAAAGAATTCAATAAAATTGAAATTTAAGGTGAATGAAAGTGTCTTTTACGTACCTAACTAAAAAAAAAAAAAAAAAAAAAAAAAAAAAAAAAAAAAAAAAAAAAATTTTTGACCGTCTGTGAAACGAGATATTAACAATCAAATTGTGCATAATTAACAGTCTCGAAGCCTGTCATGTACACAAGCGATGCATTTATCTCAAGATATCTCGAAAACGGTTCTTACTATAAAAACTATAATGTAAATCAAGAAGTTATAAAATTTTCTAAAAAACCGCAGAATTTTTTGACCGTTTTGGTAAAAGGATATAGATTTTTAAAATAATTTTTTTAAAGCAGTCGACGCGTAGTGGATACAATGATTACAACTTGGCAACATTGTTAGTTCAGAATCACTGAATTACACTCGATCAGCTAAGAGGTTTGTTATAACATCATGACGTGTTCTTGAAAAATTAATTTGTCTACCGTATTTGAGAACTGGAATTGACGGTTCTGTTTGAACCAAAACAATCCCTTAAAACTAATATGAGGAAGTCACAAATTTCTATAGGTATACACTTGATAGAGCATCATTCATATATTTGTGAAGTTGCCAGATGGATTTTACTTGAAATAAGAACGTATCCGTACATAAGCTTACATGTGTTGTGTTCAGTCTCTTACAAAAATAACATTTTTCAGCATTGATAATCTCAAACTTTTGGTATTCACCATTAGGCGATATTTTTGTGTACGACTGTCGCGCGTGAACTACCTTAATAATTACTACATGTAAACAACTCATTTGAAATTGGTCGGTATTAGATACCATAAGTATTTAGTATATTTACCTGCAGTAAAATTGTTTATAATTCAAAACCCATTGGTAGGCAGTACCCCGCGCATATAAGAACATTATTATGTTCCTCCATATAATTCAAGGTGGTTTATCGTTTTGAATATTTTGTCTTGAAATTGAATTTTGATATTTCAAAAGAAGAGTCACTTCCATGGTTTTATGCAATATTCAACATTTTAACTGATAGTTGGCAACGTTGTAACCATTTGCAATTATTATATAGGCTCATTATGAGCGCGAATAATAAACAATATTTTCATATCAATTTGCTTCTAAATTCACAATTAAACGAATACATGAAGAATTTTTTAGAATACTGAAGACTTTTACGTAAAAATTATTAAAAATTCCGATGCGATAGCTAATTGTACAAAAAAGGCTTACTAAAATATGAGTGGCATGTCACGACGCTTTTGTCAAAAATAAGGGTAGATTAGATATTAGATTTAAAAGGAGTTTGACATTATTTATCCGTGTCCACCGCGACCTTTTTAGATCTGTGAGACTCCATTTGTTTTAAAGAATGTCATCTAAGCTTGGACTTTTTTATTAAACTTTGTTTCCTTGACAGTGGCATCCACATGCATGTAGTTACTTACTCTGAGGTAGTTACATGTGTCTGTCTTTTCTTCATCTAGTATTATAAACCTTAATCTAGTTAAGCTTTGACATTGGCCCAGGACGTGGATTGATGTTTCCTTTTCTTATTTACAGAACCCGAATAAATTAAAAAAAGAATAAATTACAAATTATCTTAAAATTTAAAAATAATTTAATTTTGTAAAAGAAGTGAAAACTTACTTTTTAGAATATACCTTGGGAGATTCTACTTCTAGTACACAGCAACTACGGTTGCTTATTACATTGTTCTTTCCTCTTTTTTGCAAAAAAAGTAAAATGTATACGTGTATTTGATACGCCAAAATTACAAAATATCGCCCTAAAGTGGTCGAATTATCTGCAACTTGCGCTAGTATCGCTTTTGCTTCCCCTACCATAACTTCGCACTGAGCGAATATTATCATCATACGTTTCCACATATACATTTTTTATACTATACTTCCCTCAACGAAGTATGTACTAAAAAAATTATAAGTTTTCAATAATGGGTTTGGTACAATCAAAAAAGTTTACTTTGTGTTTATTAAACTACAACTGGGAGACAACAGTTCTAAGCTATTTTTCACAGTATTTCAGACCTCAATAACAGTTTCAAAAAAGAATTGTTTAACTAGATGTAAGTAGGCGTTTGCAATAAATATTTATAAATTACCTTTTACCTATATCAATACGAAAACATGTACATAAACACACTTGTTTACTTACTCTATTGGCAAAACATTGGATTTTAAATAAAATGATTATTATAGCTAAATAAATCTTCAGGTGAAAAGTGATCTGAACAAACTTTGGCATCTTTTAGTTTTGAGATGTTCCTCATTTATTTTCAAGTTGTTCAGCCACAATGATGTTGGACAATGTCTCTAGGAAACCTGTAAATGTATAATGTATATACCATATTGGTTTTGGGTCCAAAATGTTCGGAAAACTATGCATCTCTTTACTATTTTGAAATGTATAATCACGTTTGTAGACAATTTCTTTTATATAAATAAAACAAGAATATTCCACTAAAATAAAATACCGAACAACACTTTTAAAAACATACAAAAAAAGGGTTGCCAAATGTTCAGTTAAAATATAGTATTTAATGGTTAACCCGATTTATCCTGGTGAACAAAATCTAAAAACATCTAATTTAAACACTGATTCAGTGCAGAAAAAAATAAGATTCTTGAATGAACTGTTAAATATTAAGGTCCATATTAAGTATCTTGAACCTTAAAACATTGGGAACTAATCATTATTATCCTTATACGTTTAACCGAAACAGACGCTGTGGCAACCTCTGCTGGTACCATCGTTTGTTGTGCATGCGATTATGGACCTAATAGCCCAAGAGCCCACTGCAAATTTTTACCGTCATCTGATAACGAAATGAAATATACCCCAAAAGCAAGTAAAAACATTGTACTTTACCAAATGGCACCTGTGCCTATCCCAATCCTGAGCAAAGTGGCTTAAAAAAAATATTTTATATTCAAAAAATCACATAAAGCATGACAGCGCTAATTTTGTTTGCCCTTAAAGATTTCCAGAAAATAACATTCAAATATATCTTGATGTATATCGTTAAAGAGAAACATTTTCTTCTTCTTAACATGGCACAAAACATCTATCCACG